CGCGAGTGGTGAAGTGCTCGACTTGCCGACGCAACGTGCGAGAAAGGGGGAAAGCCGTCCGCCCAGCCAGGATGTCCAGAATTGAAGCAATCCAAGGGTTCTTGCATTGCTCAGATGCCATGTGGGCGATGGTGACGGCAGTGGCATCACAGGTTAGACTTTCGCAGCAATCCGGGTCAGGGGCGAACGGGATATCCTACGCGGTTGCCTACGCAAGCCGTGGTTGCCTACACCAGCCGAACTCTTGGAAGCCGTCTTTCTGCTTTGCAAGAATAGCGCCTAGCCCGACACCACTAGCGTCGGTGTGGATCTCTGTGGGTGCCGATGGGTCGTAGTGTCGCAAAATAGGCGGCGACGTGAGGAGGTGGCGCAGTTCATTGAAAGAATCGTCACAGGTGGCAGACCAGGCTAAAAGGTCTCTAGAGCCGGCGAGGAGCTTGGTCAAAGGAGCGATGATCGTCGCGAAGTTGCGGACGAAGTACCGGAAGTAAGAGCAAAGGCCTATGAAGCTTCGGAGCTCTTTCATGGCGGTCGGTTTGGGAAACGCTGAAACGGCTGCAAGTTTGTCAGGGTCAGGAAGAATGCCGTCTTTTGAAACCACGTGGCCAAGGATCGTAAGCTTTCGAGCGGCGAAATGGCACTCCTTCAGATTCAGTTGCAGCCCCGCGGCAGAAATACACGTGAGGACATTCTCGTGGCGGGTTCAATGTGTTGCGAAATCAGTTGAAAAGACGGCAATGTCATCTAAATAACAAAGGCAAATGTTCCATTTGAGGCCTCGAAGGATAGAGTCCATCATTTGCTCTAAAGGAGCTGGCGCGTTGTAGAGGCCAGAGGGCATGACTGTGAATTTGTAAAGCCCGTCGAGCGTGATGAAAGCTGTTTTTTCGCGATTGGCCTCTGCCATGGGTACCTGCCAGTATCCAGAGCGCAGATCTAAAGAGGAGAAAAGTTCGGCTCCCTGTAGGCAGTCCAAGGCATCATCAATGCGTGGCAGCGGATAGACATCCTTGCGCGTGATTTGGTTGAGACGTCGGTAGTCCACGCAAAACCTGATGGATCCATCCTTCTTCTTCACCAACACAACTGGAGAGGCCCAGGGACTGCTTCACGGTTCGCTTATGCCACATGTCAGCATGTCGTCAACCTGTTCATTGATGGCACGGCGTTCGGTAATTGACACACGATATGGACGCTGCCATAGTGGCGTCTCTTGACCGGTATCTATACGGTGAACAACAGATGACGCTCGACCTAAGGAAGGCTGATTGTGATCAAACGAGGCTCGAAAACGCTGGAGGAGCTTGATCAGCCCAGGCGTGAGGTTGCAATCAATGGATTTGCGGAATACATCCATAGGTTCATTAGCGTCAGTTGCGGGTGTAATGGCACAAGTCGGTAAAAATGGCTTGTCTGGATAGATCGGGTCTTCGAAAATACAATTTAAGGTCTCGAGGCTTCCCAGACACTCGTCGCAGAGCAGAATGTACGGACAAGCAGAAACGTTGCATGTATAAAGTACCGCCAAACCATTGGAAAAGTTGATGACGGCAAACGGGAGGACGATGGTTCGGTGGTGCACACTACCTATAGTTGGTTGGAACAGGAGCGTAGAGTTAGTGGCAGCAGGGGAAAACACAGGCACTAGGACGGCGGACAACGGCGCGATGCGGACGTCAGCTGCGGCAAACACATTCGAGTGACTGTGGTGGTCGATATTAAGGCACGGATTCGTCAACGTGAGTTCAGCACGAGCGCAGTCGACGAGGGCCTGATGGGTAGAAAGGAAATGCCATCCTAGTATGACGTCGTAAGATGAACGTGGGAGAACAACAAAGTTGATGGCGTACCAAACATCTTGAATAAGAACGCGTACTGTGCACTGAGCCGTCGGCGCGATGAAATGGGAGATGGCTGTACACAGAGCAAGATTTGTAAGCGGCATTGTAACTTTTCTCAAATCGCGATACAGCTTTTCACTAATTACAGAAACGACAGCGCCTGTGTCGACAAGTGCACGTACAGCAACACCTTCTACTAGCACATCAATTTCGTTGGGCGGACAAAGAGGAGGTCTTGGAGAGTTCGACGACGCAGTTCTTGCCTCTGGAACTGCGGCAGCCAGTTTTCTTCTCGAGCGGGGCTTGTGCGCAGAAGCATCGGGAAGACAGATCGGCGACGGGGTGGTAATGACCGGCGAGAATCGACAGGGCGTCGTGGGGACAATGAGTCAGTGATAGGAGAAGATGGTCGTTGGGGATTCTGGGCAGCCTGGTAATTTGCGGAATTCCCATGGTCTGGAGGCTGGAAGTTGCGACGGCGACAGTAGCGTGCTATATGTTCCATGAAACTGCTTGCAAAACAGATGGGTCGATTATCCAAAGTGCGCCATGGGTTAACGACAGAAGGTGCAGGGGGCAAAACAGGATGGGGTGCCGTGTATGTAGGCAGCGTCGTAGGGTAGGAGGACCTGGTGCCCCGGTATGCGCCATAGACAGGTGGGGCTGGGGGTCTAGCAACGGCGGCAGCGTAGGTCAGCGGCGTAGGGACAGATGGCGATGGAGGCACTGCCTGCGTGACCTGTGTCTCAATGACCTGGCATAGACTTGGGTCTAACGAGGTCACTGGCTCGGATGCTTTGGCCACAAGAGAAAGCTGACGCGCAACTTCTTCACGAATGAATTGTTTGATGTGGGACAGTAAGACGGTGTGATCAGCAGTGACTCGTGCAGGAGGGCGCTGCTGCTCTTCAGCGTAACTTCAGCGGCCCTGCGCGTCGAGACACGTTGCTTACGCAACTCGTCGTACTCCTGACAGAGCTGGACAACATCGGTGACGGTCTGTGGATTTCTAGCGACGAGCATCTGGAAAATATCGTCGTCAACTCCTTTGATGATGTGCTTGATTTTGTTGCGTTCGGTTAGAGATTCATCGACGCGCTTGCAAAGAGACAAGACATCTTCAATGTAACTTGTAAAGGTCTCGTCCCTGCGCTGGACTCAACTACGGAGACGCTGTTCCGCGCGAAGCCGGCGCACGGCGGGACGACCGAAGACCGCGGCGATGGCGGTCTTGAAGGCGGACCAATTGGTGATATCACCTTCATGGTTCTTGAACCAGAAGCTGGCCACATCAGCTAGGTAAAAGCGCACGTTTGTGAGCTGGTCGCAGGCGTTCCACTTGTTGGAAGCGCTTACGATTTCGTACTCGACAAGCCAGTCCTCGAGGTCTTGTTCGTTGTTCCCGTGAAAAATTGGTGGGTCGCGTTGCCGAGGCACGCCAGTACAGTAGACTGTCGTTGGTAAGGCAGCTTGAGAAGGGCCAGGAGCAGTCGATTGATATGTGGGGTTTAACGTCCCAAAACCACCATCTGATTATGAGAGACGCCGTAGTGGAGGGCTCCGGAAATTTCGACCACCTGGGGTTCTTTAACGTGCACCCAAATCTGAGCACACGGGCCTACAACATTTCCGCCTCCATCGGAAATGCAGCCGCCGCAGCCGGTATTCGAACCCGCGACCTGCGGGTCAGCAGCCGAGTACCTTAGCCACTAGACCACCGCGGCGGGGCGGCCAGGAGCAGTCATGGTGAACAGTGAGGGTAGCGTCCGATTGCGAAGTTTATGGGAACCTTGGCTCCTCCACCACTTAAAATAGAGGTGTTGTACGTCGAGAAAGGTTCAGACGCAGCTTGGCAAAATGTGCTTTATCAGGCAGGCCTGGCTAATGGCGAGCGGCGTGCGCGAGCTACTACTACAGCCACCGATAATCATTGTCTTCTTCATTACCAACAGAGCGTCCATTATTCAGATTCATTACAATTTATATATATAGCACATCAGACTAATCTCCAGGCTTAAATCTCCAGCTTTTCATCAAAGCACCAGAGCACAAAAAAAGCTTCTTGGCAGAAAGTGTTGACAGTGATGATCACTGCATGTGAATAGCCATACTCTTTAAAAAATGCTTTTAGCTCTATATTAACCTAATATTACACATGATGCTGTATATTTGTTATAGTGAGGATACACATGGACATTGTTTGCGGTTTCATGGTCTAACTTTGTAGAAAACTGATAATATATTGAGCACACCTGTAGCAGTTGTACAGGGAAGATGGCATGTGTGTCTCAAACAGCTGTAACATTTGACGTGGAGAGTAAACGAGAACATGCGTGTCTTGAATAGCTGTAACAAGTTTCAGCGACGAATGTGTTCCGGAAACATGCGTCAGATTGTGCACACACCCTGTGCAACTACATAACTTTTCGCACTGTCTCTAAGATTGGCCTGCTTGCAATTGTTTCGTTAAGCTGCATTTTTCCAAGAAACGTGCAGTAAAATGACGTGAAAAGCCTTGACTAAAGGCTCGTTCACACCGAAGGCGGGGCGGCGAAAGCGACGAGGCGGCAGTGCGGGAGCGGGAAAAACCTCCTCTCCAGGCAGCGAAAGCGGGAGAAAAACCAGGCGGCAAGGCCAATCGCTCTCGGAGCATTTTTTCGCCGCTTGCCGAGGCTCGCCGTTTTGCCACAGCCAATCAGAACACCACGCAGTGGAGGCACGGTGGTGGTGCGGGTGTACGTTTAGGAGAAGTGCTGACACGTCATAGTGACACGTGCGCAAAATAGCGAGACGCCCGCCTCTTCTGCCGCACGCCCAAACGAAGGAGATATGCGGTCTGAACAAGTTCACGGTCTCGCTGCCTCGCCGCTTCGGAAATCCCTCTTTGCCGCACCGCCTTCGGTATGAATGAGCCTTTAGAGTATCTGCACACATGTTTTTGACAAAGAAATCAACAAAAGATCTAAAATTATCTTTAGCTTCCTTTCATTTAGTGTAGCTCGAGCTTTATATGTGATTTCTGCTCTACTTTTACGTAAATATGCTCAAGTAGTTCTTGGGGCCTGTCAGCAGTTATCAGCAGACATTGTTAAACATTATTCATCAATAATATTGGAGAACTACGAATTAAGTGTTGACCTTTATCTTTTATTACTTCAGATGCAGACCCGAAAACCTGCCTTTGCCAACGAGACGTCCGCGCAGTTACCGCTCACAGGTACAGAATTCAGCTGGGCGTATTTAGTGGCATTCTGGGAACGATTATCGTGTGCCTTATCTTTCCTATTGATGTTGCACAGGTGTGTTGTCTGCTCACAACCAGTCGTTTCACAAAAACTCTACCGATGCGCACGGCCACTCGGACAGCATCTACTACATTGCCTACGGCGTTGCTGTGCCCGTGATGCTGCTCTGCGGCATTGTAAAAGGAATTGCGTGCACTGTGGTAAGGTTTAATTGTGAGAGAGACAAATTTTACTGCACAGTTTTTTGAAATTCTCGTAGAGCTGTTGCAGACCTTCAGTTGTGCTGCTTGCTTTTTACACTGCAGCTTTGTTCCTTAAAAGACAGTGCTGTATGTGTACTGTCTTAGTAGGCTGAACAATTTGGGTTCTCGCAGATTCACTGCCATTTTGTTGCACCTAATTTACAGGAGAGATTTCCAAAATTGCGTGATATCTCAATGCTTGTTGTAGCTCTGCATGTGCTGATACTACATGCGCGTTCTGGCAATCTGAAAACCTTGAAAGATCCTTGTGTGCATTGCTCGCTAAAATTCTTGGGGGTAAATTTTTTTTATGTGCGTGCATGCATGAATATTGTACGGCATTGACAGTTGGCCTTTTTATGTGCCCCTGCATCTGGATCCTCATCTAGGTTGTACTGCACATTTCAGATTTTGCTGCGTGCCTCCAGCAAGCTTCACAACAAAATGCTCCACGGTATACTGCGATCCCCAACAGGCTTCTTTGATGTGACCCCGTCGGGTCGCATCACCAACCGATTTTCCAAGGACATGGACGAGAGTGAGTGCTCTGTCGGCTCGGCACTGATGTTGCACCGCTTTGGGCAGGGAAATGTCTCTGCGGCAACTGTGTTCAACATGCTTGAACACATCTTGCTGGAAAAGCTTCATATCAACTAGAGACGTCAGAACTCATGATAAAAATGAGCAATTATCGTCAAAAATTCAGTAAACGATTAAATGATATAGGGGGGGTGCGTATGTTGAGGTTGGGAAATGGAATTTGGCCAGTACTACTTGCAACACTATGCCAAGTCATCATTGAATAGCTTCATTAAAGGAGTACGTAGAATCTCATGAGACTACTGGCACAAAATTTTTTAGAATCCGTCAAGTAGAACAGTGTCGCAGTGATTAGTTGCATTCATCAAGTGCTGTCTCTCTTCGGTTGTACTAGCCGAAACAGATAGCTAAAGCTACACAGATAGCTGAATGCTATTAAACGAGGATGAGAAGAGATACATGAAAACTGGACAACCTCTCGTCCTATTTTCTTGTCTCTTCTCGTTCCGTTTGTTTGCGCTGTAGAACTTCTTTGCCTCTCTTTTTTGTCGAAATCTCATTGTGTTCTTTTTGATTGTTTTTCTCTCGCTTGCAGTGGACATCCGTGTGCCATTCTTCCTGGAGATGGTGGTGCAGAGCCTGCTCTCGATTGCACTGCAGCTGATCATCTCCGTGTACGTGTACAAGGTGTTCTGCATCGTGCTGGGTGCCGCCGTGGTAGTGTACCTTCTGCTGGACCGCTGGCTCAATGTTGGTGTGCGCGAGGTGAAGAAGCTGGACAATGTGGCCCGCTCGGCAGTGGTTGTGCACCTCTCCACCACCCTGCAGGGTGTCGCAGTCATCCGAGTGTTCGGCTGCCACAAGTGGTTCACCAACAAGTGAGATGCTTGGGCACCCCTTCGATGTCTCGCTTTGAGTCTTCCTTTTGTTGAGCGTTGAACAGACAGGCTCTATGAATCAAAAGATGTTGGCATGATGCAAGCTTTAAAGGGGATCAAAAAAGATGGGATTCATTGAGGGCTTGTTTGTTAGCAGTGGAAAAGCACTGGCTCTTGGAACGAAAACCACACAGCACGATTCTCTGGCGCTGATAAAGGGCAGCTGCACGGCTCTTCTAAAGGGTTAAGCTCGTACTTGGTATTCTTTGGCTGTCACGGTCTATACATCATTTTGATTACCGTGAGTGTTACTTAATAGCTTTAATGAACATTGACCGTAATTTGTACACACTTGTGCATTACAGGATGTACGAGTTGGTGAACAAGCACTCTGTGGCACATGTGGTGTTCCACCTGGCCTCCCGGTGGTTCACGTTGCGCATGGAGTTTGTCGGCACCTGCATGGTGGCGTCTGCAGCCTTCATTGTGGTCATCATGCGGCAGAGTGTCAGCACTGGGCTTGCAGGCCTCATGCTGGCCTCCGTCTTTTCTGTACGTGGCTCGCTTTGTTGCCTCTACCCTTCCCACTTTTGAGATTGAGCTGTTGAGTCACTCGTGCGCTAATTATGATGGACTGTTTGAAAGAGGCAACCAGTGAAAACCATGAAAGCAGGCAGGACAAGCGATTGTTCTTCACTGCCTTTATTTTATTTTCGCTGGTTTCCTCTTCCAAACAGCAAAGTCGGGTACTTCATCGCGAGCATGTTGGGTGATAAGATGGTGATAACATATTCAAGTGAGCCATACTAAGTGTGGAGAATTACATGTCGATTTTTTTTTTTCAACAATTAGAGATGTTTAAAAGGGCCCTGAAACACTTTTTCAAGTAACCATGGAATGAATTCACTGGAAGAGCTTATTGCCTCTAAAATTCAACACCGCTAAAATTTTAAGAATCCGTCCAGTGCAAGTGAAGCTGCGAAGCTTTGTCGCATGCTGCAATTGCATTCTCTCTTCTCTCATTCTGACGGAAGCGCTGGAAGCTAAGCAGGGAAGGGATGGCATTGATAAAAAAAGTCACGTGCGCCTCGTGATCTTGAGCACTTTTTTTTTTTCAAATGCGCGACTTTTTCAGTGTGATTGCGCGTGGACAAGTAGCGGTCTTTGGCAGTGATCTCTGTAACGAGCGAGCGGGCCATGTTCAAATCAGCCAATGGCTGATAGATGGGCTTTTTACGAGTGAGTTTTGAGCATCTTCCGTAATTTGTCGAGAGAAGAGAAAGCAACATTTAGCTGACTTTGATAACATATTGCGTATTCCAGGCCGCGTGCTGCGCTATAATATTTGGCTCGCGTGTTGTCGGGAGCCTCTACTACTGATCGGCAGCGTTTTCTGACAATGCTCAATAAGTGTTGTAGAGCCCCTTTAATAATGACTGGCTTGGAATTACATGCACAGTTAATTATTAAGTGCAAGTACAGAGTAATAAAGAAACCAATATTTTCACCAGTGCTGGCATTAGCGTGTCAAATGTGTCTCTACAGAATTGATCATCTTTAACGATATGTGCATTCTCCAAATAAGAAAAAGAAGTGCAAATTTAAGAGCTTGTTTTTCTTTACTAGACACAATGTTAATGAGAACTAACAGACAATGGTGCCAAGGAAGGTGCAGGAAATGTTAGTAGTACTGCAAATGCGAAGAAAGAAAAGCCGACTGAAATATAACTTGATGCTGGCAGGAACCGAACCTGCGACCTTTTGAATAACGTATCTGATGCTCTGACAGCAGCAGTGTTCCCCCCGTCCACTTCATGGGGTATGTAGTGGATTTAAATATGGGAGTGTTGGTCAGGGCTGCTAGTAGCCATGATGACAGTACACATATATACTCCATAAAGTGTGTGCCCTTAATACAGTAGACTTTCAGAAAACAGAAACCTGTTAAACAAAATTGCTGCTTAAATGGAACAACTTTATCTGATATTATTGGTTTAGTACTGGTATTCTGAACTCCTGTTCATCTCTCAGTAAACGAAACTCCTGTTAAAGGGAACATATTTTTCTGGTCCCTGGAGGTTTAATTTAATGAGTCTACTATATGGTCTCTAGTTAAGTGAATTCGAATTGAGTATAGAAAAAAGGTGTGCTCACTCTTACCTCAACTTTTTTTTTGTCACCACTGCTTGAAATTGTCTAAAAATTGCTTAAGCACCCCGTAGTGTGTGTGGCTTTTGGTAGTGTTGACAGCAATGCACGTCATTGCTGACAACTGTGCTACCTGTCAGTTTCATGGAGCTTTCTTTTCTGTTTCACCACTTCGAACAAGAGGGTTTGTGCCTACAGGCTTGGTAGCTTTTGCCTTTGTATTGCGCTGCCAAATGTAATGGAGGTAGTGATGAAACTGCGTTAACTGTTTTCTGTCTTTGTCCGAGTAACAGGGGATTATGACATACAGCTATGCAAACTATGAAATGCTTATACTGTAATCTTGTAAACTTGCGTGCAACACCTGAGAAGTGATGGAAAAATTCTTTGGATGGGTGTGCTGCCTTCTCTCGTTAATATGGACGCATTCGTTGACCCTCCAAATATATTGCCCCGCCGCGGTGGTTTAGTGGCTAAGGTACTCGGCTGCTGACCCGCAGGGCGCGGGTTCAAATCCCGGCTGCGGCGGCTGCATTTCCGATGGAGGCGGAAATGTTGTAGGCCCGTGTGCTCAGATTTGGGTGCACGTTAAAGAACCCCAGGTGGTCTAAATTTCCGGAGCCCTCCACTACGGCGTCTCTCATAATCATATGGTGGTTTTGGGACGTTAAACCCCACATATCAATCAACCCTCCAAATATTGGCACCCACACACGTTTGCTTTTTTCGGGGAATGCTTTTCACTGGCTAACAAACCTTTCAAAGTCATCTCCTGCACGAGTCCCATTCACATATCCTGTAGACTCTCATTAAACATAACACGAATGGACCAGGAAAATATGTTCCATTTAATGGGAGATGAACAGGGAGTTCCGTTTACTGATAGATGAACAGAAGTGCAAAACACCAGAACGAAACCAATCTTGTGAGTAGCACTTGTTTCATTGAAGCAGCGGTTCTTTTTAACTGATTTTTCATTCACCGAGAGTCTACTGGACTTATCTGTGTATCAAGGGCTTCTTCAAGGTTGTCACCAATTCTAATTAGTATACCAATCTACAATCCAGCAATTATGCTGGGTTTTAGATTGATGCATGTATAAAGAGCTGGAATATTTCAACTGTAGACTAGAATTTTGACAACCAGTGGCTGTGCTCGTGGCTGTTGTCCCTTTGAGGTGTTTACTTCGTTGGGCAACAGTTCGTTCACTGATGAGTTAAATCTTCACGTAACATATTGGCAAAAGCTCAGTTCGTCACTGTCAGCACTTTGCCAAAAAGCACCACAGTGCTCTTTGCCGAGTCAAGCAGAAAGTGCAATTTGAGCAGCGCTGCATCTTATTAAGATATTCATCTGTGCTTTTGTTTTGTCTTTGCAGGTATGCACATTTATACCTTTCATTATGAGGCTGAAGTCTGAACTTTCAGCCAGGCTTACTTCAATGGAAAGAATTCACGAGTACTGTCAGGTGAGTGACCCTTACTACTGTTCAAACCCGGATATATTCAATCGGAATGTCACAAAGTTCTATGTATATACTTACAAATAACTTATTATATAAAAATTTTCTATACATATATGTATTATAAATATACTCAAGGAGATTTTCTGGTTGTTCAATATGCACAATCATTTGTTATGCTATATGGATTTGACATGTGCGGGTTTGAGTGTTTTAATAATGTTTCTTGGTCATCTGGGGCATAGCAGCAACATTGGTGGCTGACATTTGGTGTGAATTGTTTTGAGCGGTGATGACTGCTTGAAAAAAATGCCTTTCTCTTTGGGTTTGGATTATGCGGTGATGAAACTTGACAGTGAATGTCTTTTATACATTAATAATTTGTAAATCCTCGTGTAACGTAGAGTGCACAGAACTTTCTCAAGAGACACATTGCGCGGGGAAAAGGAGGAAAAGAAGGGGGGGGGGGGAACCAACTAAAAACAAAGTCATCAGTCATGGTGAGAACGTCATGTGGGCATTCAGCGTCTGTGTGAAAAAGAAAAGTCAGCATTGATATGTTGCTTTTGTGTATGAGCTGAAACTACCTGCCCGCTCAGTGTTCTATTTACAGCAAAAGTTCGTTAAATTGATTTTCACGGGAATCGAAAAAATGTTTGAATTAACCGAATGCTGAATTATCAAAAGTACCAAGAAAACAATGAACGAATGTCTGTTACATGATAAACGTTCGTTTTCTTGACGAATACATAAACCATGTATTTATTTTGCTTAAGAGAAGTTCAATAGTTGCCATTTTCGTCATCCTACGACTCCGTTTTCGATTAGACCATGGCGCCAGACTCCCATGATTAGTTAAATTAGCCTAAAATGTACTCGGCACCCATTCCTTTGTGCGTATCGCCACCATCGATTCTCGCTTGTCACGATAGTTCTTCTGCAGGTAAAATGGCGAGCTAGTAATATTTCATTCATCATGTTTTAGAAAACAAGATTTATACCAGCGTGCCGGCCGCGGTTGAAAGTTCTTCACTTTCAACAACTTCCGTGATGTTGGAGTTTTGTGACATAATGTGCGCACATTGCATAAAGTTAAAGTGCAACTGCCGTGTTCCAGAGCCACATGTTGACAAAACCGTGGTCACTAATTGATAAAAATTGCATGCAGACAGAGACACCTTGTTTTGGTTGTCTGTGAAAGCCATCGTCACTCTTTTACATTCCACATCTCCAGTGCTTCGTGCTCGGTATGTGCTGAGGATTACCCGTATTAAGCGGCTTGCCATCAACCAAATGTGACCAAGTTAATGAGAGTTTGATGTGATTAAACAATGCATATGCTAGTAGGGACCAAGAGACATGTCCAAGTTTTCTTAATGAACTAGGGTTGAATTAACGAGATTTTATTGCACTTCTATTACAGAACTTTCTTGTGATACAGTGCTTAATGGAAAAAACATTACAAAGTTGTGTGTTTGAACAGAATTTTCGTTTGGACCTTGAAGGACTCAAAGAGCTGAATTTCTTTAGTCATGCTCAGTTTTCGGATCAATGGAGAACACAAATAGCAGTTCCATGGAGCTGTGCTAGCATTTCCTGTCAATGCTTTGATCCACAAAAAAAAAAAAGATCGTTTTCTAATAAAATGGTGCGTCAAAAGACAAGAGACGAGCACCTACATTGACATGCGATGTCTATAAAAAGATTAGAACTGGTTTGCGCCGAGCGCTTCACTGTAATCAATGAGCATGTCAGCCCAAATTATCGAATACTAAAATGCTGAAGCGAAGTCATGATATCTTGCGAGAGAGTTGGCTGCGGCATATTTCATAGAAGTGTATGATTGCATGCATATATGTGAACCTTCTACTGTGTTGCACAGCATGAATGTGTTTTTATGGGACATTGCCTTTGAATCGCTTATGCATATGTGCTACACAACTGGGTACTATACAGTAGTGCTGTTTATTTAAAGTAATAAACCAGTTTGTAGTGTGTGGCCATCCTTGTTGCTATGACTCTTGTTTTTGTCTTTATGTAGACTGCTTTCCTAGAAAACATCCATGCACTAACTAGTCCAGCATTGCATTTTACAAAACTGATAGCGGTTTATGCTTGTGTGAGCAGCGTACTGTTTCGCTTGTTGCAGGATCTGACTGAGGAGGCTCCCCAGCACGTGCAGAGCTGTGGAGAGATCAAAGGCTGGCCCACCGAGGGGGACCTGCGCTTCGACCAGGTGTGCCTGCGCTACCGTGAGGGGCTACCCCTGGTGCTGCAAAACATCAGCTTCCACGCGCGCGGTGGTCACAAAGTGGGCGTTGTCGGTCGCACTGGCGCAGGTGAGCCTGATGGCCTTGCACTGTTTTGGCGTGCTTCCGAGGGCTGGGTCTACAATCGTTGCCTGTCGCAGAAAGCTGAAGTGGTTGGTGTCAAAAGATAATTTTGATTTTCACGAAATGAAATACCTTTGTTTTGCCTATTTAGCAAGCACATCTTCAGTAACAAAATACAATTGTTACACCAAAAAATAGTGCCTGCCCCCTCTGTATGCCACATCAGTAACATAATCAACCCAGCCTTACATGCATCTTAGGACAAATGTGTTTTACACATCGGCATTACAGCAAGCCGTTCGCATGTGAAATGATCTTCTTAATGATCTCTCCTCTGATAGTAACCCCAACATGTGTGACGCAAACTTGAGATGCATTTTCTTATACTAGTAGCATTGTAAAATTGTTTCATTGTATAGCTTTCAACCTTTATTGTATTTTAACACAGTGTTGCATTTTATTTTCCTTAACATGCTTTAATATGCTGTTACATGTGCTGTGCAATATTACTGACATACTGCTGTTAATTTTGTTGCATTGTACTCTTCTGGCTTGTTATTATTTACCTACATTGTGACACTGTTCTTTCCAGTTAAGCTGTGATTTCATTGTACTCTCCCTTACTCAATGCCCCTGTGGATGTATGGTACTTTTAATAAATAAATAAATAAATAAATAAATAAATAAATAAATAAATGAATGAATGAATGAATGAATGAATGAATGAATGAATGAATGAATGAATGAATGAATCGCCAATCCCTGGAGGACGCCCGATAACCGACCGATTTGCTACGCTTGCTTCACTCCCGGACACGTTGCTCGCTACTGCCGCCGTCGACCTCAGACGTTCGGCAACTATGCCCGGTCGTCGCATCCCGGCAGCCAACCCTTCGTCCAATACGGGCCGGTCTCGCCACCTCGCTATGCGCCTACTGACCACCTTGACTTCCAGCCGCAACGCGCACCCTCTCCTCGTCGGCGATCGCCCTCCCCCATGCGTCGCCGGCCCGGACCCTCCGACCAGGAAAACTAAGCAACGCAGTTCAAGAGGCAAGAACTGCGCCGTTTTCGAACTGTCTAAGCCCTCGCTCCTCTCCTGCTAACGTGGTCGCAGTAACTGTTGAAGGTTATTGTACTTTCGCCCTTGTGGACACTGGTGCCGCTGTTTCTGTTATTGCCGCTAATCTCTGCCGTTTATTACGCAAAGTAACGACGCCGCTTTCGGGACTGTCGCTTCACACCGCAAGCGCACAGCAAGTAACGCCTCTCGCAGCCTGCACTGCAAGAGTCTCCATCGAAGGCATTCTTTACATCGTGGAGTTTGTTGTTCTTCCTGTCTGTTCGCATGACGTCATCCTCGGGTGGGACTTCCTATCCCGCCATAATGCCGTCATTGACTGCGCACGCGCCGAAGTTGAGTTTTCGCCCTTGTGTGATGTCCCATTACTGGACGCTCCTCATCAGCCGTCGAAGTTGCTCGTTCATGAAGATACCGATATTCAGCCTGGAAATTTCGCCCTTGTTCCCGTTTCATGCAACGCCTACACTGACGCTACAGCTCTTTTTATGCCTTCCGATATCTTCAAATGTCGTCGAGCTTTGCCGCTGCCTTTCGCAACAATTGACCTTGCCGCCGGAAGAAGCAACATGTTCTTAAGCAATCCGTTTTCCACGCCTGTCACATTGCTTGCGGGGGAATGTCTCGGCCGCGTGCAGGATCTCGACCCTTCGTTTTTGTTTGATGTCCCGGACGACTACTGCGACCACCCAAAAGCACTGTCGGCACTCGGGGAGTCGTCCAATGATACGTTTTCCAGCGCCATCGCCGACACTCTCACTCCCACCGAACATGCCGACCTGCTGGATCTTCTCCATGAGTTCAGGAGTTCGTTCGATGTGTTGCAACCTCAACTGGGCCGCACACCACAAGTCAAACATCATGTTGACACCGGCCTACACCAGCCACTGCATCAAAGACCATACCGTGTCTCCGGTGAAGAGCGCCGCATCATCAACGATCAAGTTGAAGATATGCTTCGTAGAGACGTCATTCGACCATCTCACAGTCCCTGGGCGTCTCCCGTCGTCCTGGTGCATAAGAAAGACGGATCTATCCGATTTTGCGTGGACTATCGTCGTTTGAATAAGATAACCCGCAAGGACGTCTATCCTTTGCCGCGCATTGATGACGCCATTGACACCCTTCACGGAGCGGAATTTTTCTCGTCGCATGATTTGCGGTCTGGCTACTGGCTGGTCCCAATGGCAGAAGCTGATCGCCAAAAAACGGCATTTATTACACCAGACGGACTATATGAATTTAACGTCATGCCCTTTGGGCTTTGTAACGCGCCTGCCACGTTTGAACGTGTTATGGATAATACTCTATGTGGCCTCAAATGGAATATGTGCCTCTGTTACCTCGACGATGTCATGGTTTTCTCCCATGACTTTCCTACGCACCTCCTTCGCCTCAGGCACGTTTTGAGTTGTCTGACCAATGCTGGTCTGCAGCTTAACCTAAAAAAATGCCGCTTCGCTGCACGCGAGCTTGTCATCCTAGGCCACATCGTGTCCAAGCACGGCGTATTACCAGACCCAGCAAAACTTCGAGCAGTCGCAGAATTTCCCAAGCCGACGACCATGAAAGAACTTCGCAGTTTTGTAGGCCTATGCTCCTATTTCCGACGCTTTGTTCGCAATTTCGCATCTATCATGTCACTGTTAACCCAGCTTCTTCGCGGTGACGTGAACCTCACCTCCTGGTTTCCTGCATGTGACGTTGCCTTCACTACTCTGCGCCGTCTGCTCACTTCCCCACCTATTCTTCGCCACTTCGACCCGACGGCTCCTACCGAAGTGCACACCGACGCCAGCGGCGTCGGGCTAGGCGCGGTCCTCGCTCAACGAAAGCCCGGCTATTCAGAATACGTTGTAGCCTACGCTAGCCGCACTCTGACGAAAGCCGAAACTAATTACAGTGTGACAGAAAAAGAGTGTTTGGCTCTGGTGTGGGCGCTTGGAAAGTTCCGGCCGTACTTATACGGCCGCCCGTTCGATCTAGTAACTGATCACCACGCGCTTTGCTGGCTCTCCACATTGAAAGACCCTTCTGACCGCCTTGCGCGATGGGCACTCCGCATCCAGGAGTACGACATTCGCGTCGTATACCGCTGCGGACGCAAACACTCTGACGCTGATGCCCTGCCCGCTCACCTTTACCACCAGATCAGACGTGCGGAAACACTTGCCTCCAGACCTTGTCATCGCTAAATCTCGACTCGATTGCCACCGAACAACGTCGTGATCCGTGGATCGCCTCTCTTATCAAATATTTATCTGGCACGCCCAACCTTCCAGTATCTCGATCCCTCCGACGTCAAGCTTTCCATTTCGCCATCTGCGATCAACTTTTTCATCGACGCAACTACGCTCCCGATGGCCGCCGGTGGTTGCTGGTCATTCCACGCACTTGTATGCGCCTCCCTTCACGACGATCCGCAATGTGGCCATGCCGGAGTGTTCGCCATCGCTATTACTGGCGCGGCATGTACAATTTTGTACGTAAATTCGTGCAGTGCTGTCCTGACTGCCAGCGACGTAAATCAACACTGCCACGTGCAACTGGCGCATTGCAGCCACTTCCATGCCCTGCCAAGCCATTTGATCGCGTCGGCGTTGACCTCTACGGTCCCCTTCCATTGACACCAGATGGTAATCGGTGGATTATAGTGGCGGTCGACCACCTGACACGCTACGCCGAAACAGCCGCTTTGCCGAGCGCTACAGCTCAGGATGTCGCCTCTTTCATTTTGCAACGCTTTATCCTTCGACATGGTGCACCTCGAGAGCTCCTTAGTGACAGTGGCCGCGCTTTTCTTTCCGAGGTCGTCGAAACTCTGCTTTCGGAATGCCACGTCATTCATCGGAAAACGACAGCATACTACCCGCAGACTAATGGACTAACGGAACGGTTCAATGCTCTCAATGTACGTGGCATCTGATCACAGCAACTGGGACCGTGTTCTCCCGTAAGTCACGTTCGCATATAACATCGCAATACAAACCACCACGGGATTCTCACCTTTCTTTCTTCTTTACGGACGTGAGCCTTCCCATACAATTGATACCCTACTTCTTTACTGTCCTGATGCTTCCGAGTGTCCACCTATCTCCGATGCTGCTAGACAAGCCGAAGAGTGCCGCCAGCTCGCCCGTGCGTTCACCTCGGAAGAACAACAACGCCTGAAAGAAACCCGTAGCACCTCTCTTCCGGATCCCAACTATGCCCCAGGGTCTCTTGTGTGGCTTGCCATCCCATACCAAACACCGGGACTCTCCTCGAAACTTGTCCGCCGATACGAGGGGCCTTACACCGTTTTGGAGAAAACCTCTCCGGTTAATTTCCTAATTGAACCAGTTTCCCGATCGGACGGCATGCGCCGGCGTGCACGTGACATCGTCCATGTTTCCCGACTGAAACCGTACCATGAGCCTTTGCCTGAAACTTCTTAAGTCGCCAGGATGGCTCCTTTTTCAGCGGGGGCGATTGTGAAGAAGAAGATGTGCCTGCAGTGAGCAGCATCGCCAACGCCTGGCTCTCTCGGCTCGTGCTTCGGTTCGTTGCTGTGCCGATCGCTGGACGGTTCTTGACGCTGTCTCGTCGCTGTCTTTAACGGCTAATAAACCTCCTCACAGAATGAATGAATGAATGAATGAATGAATAAATAAATATATAAATAAATAAATAAATAAACAAACAACAATGAAATTCAATATAACGAATCCTTCTGAATCCAAAAATTTTATGTATCATTGGCAAAAGTTTGCGTGAGCAGCCTGATCATGAATTTCCCCTATTTCCCCGTTTACCTCGCCTGTATCAGGCGAGGTAAACGGTCTCCTGAATCTATCATATGCTGCCAATTTCTAAACATGGGGAGAAGAAATGCAGGTAATGTTCGAGCAGGCAGAGCAAGAAGGTTCCTAAGAGAGAATGAATGCCATTTGCAGCATAAACCGTTACATAACTAAAGCAACCACAGTGTTCCGGCAGGTATATTTGTAGGGACAACAAACCACGTTTGCCCCGGGTCATTTTACATGTCAGAGTAGTAGAACTACCGACTACATTGTGCAGCCTTGTCAAAGTAATATTGTAGTGTTGTGGCTAGGGGGCCCTGAAAAAGAAGCTTACTATGTAAAAATTGCAATAAAATTGCTACATTTTCGCTCACTTATTTCCAAGAAAACCACATTAAATCGAGTTCAGTGCCATGGCAGCTTAGTTTGAGTTGGTAGCATTGTTGAACCCTGTAGGTACCCGCTGTGAATGGGAAATGACTTGTTAGACTGGGATCTTCGTAAAATTGGGTACCAGTATATCAAGTCTCACATGTAATCAAATAAAATTGTTTCCTGGCTAGCATCAGCAGCTATGGAATTCCTGGCAGCATGTCAAGTGCGCCTTCGCAAAGTTGTAGAATGTTTTGTGTCTGTGTGCTAGCTGTAAAAATCTTGTCAAACTAAAACAGTGCTTCAAGCCGACTGCTTAAAAATGAACTTTCTTGAAGAAACTGTGAGGATATTCTGTGGCATGAAGGTTACACTTAAAGCTGCTTTGTGAACTGTTCATTCATTTCTTGCACTCTGTTCATGAGTGTGCTTTGGAGGGGTTTCAGTTCCATTGTATGATTGATATATATATTTTTTTTCGTGAGATGGCAGTGAAAGACACCAGTGACGAAGGCAGCACATGAATGCAGCACCAAAACTTCTGTTTTTGCGATGTCATAAGTGCTTCTTCTGTAAAGTATCTGTTATAAGCGTTCCCAGGGTTGGGAAGGGAGAGAGCATGCTTACTATAATACACATCAGTATTTGTAGGTTAAACTTTTTTTAATTTTGGTGCAGTTGCAAATATACACAGCTAAAAATTTGATTCTTCCTAGAAAGTCAACATTTCGTGAAGTCAGTGTTACGGGAGTGCAGTGTATTGAAAAAAAAAAGCTTTTGCATTTATGCATTTGCAGGCAAATCATCCATCCTGGTGGCGCTTATGCGAATGAAGGAGCTGGAATCTGGGTGCATCATTCTGGATGGCATCGATATCAGTTCCCTCGGGCTCCACGAGCTCCGTTCCTCGATAGCTGTGATTCCGCAGGAGCCCGTGCTCTTTCAAGGCACGGTCAGGTATGTACGTGTGTGCGCTACATCACTTGGAAATATTTTTTGAAAATTCGGCTTTTCATGTATGGCATTTCGCATAGAGAAAAAGCCGGCTACTGGCAAATAATCAACAATAAAAGGCAAGCAAGAAAAAGAATGCTGTTAGAGAAATGTCTGGCATTCTGAGAGTGGTTTTATTATTTGGACGGCTTTAATGGTGCCAACGATAAAAACGTTTTCGCTTAGCGGATGAGCTACGCTTCTCCAATACTGTTTAGAAACTGTTTGCAAGGGAGACCTGTGCTCTTCCAAAACGTGAAAGGGCGTAAAGAGGAGCTCTTTCTAAGCTTGTATGTTTATTTTAAACTGAACATTTTGGGGAGCATTGTTGTGTCTACCATTAATTCATTGCAGCATGTCTCTCAAGCTGAAAGCCTGATGAATTGGATTTTTAGTGTAATTTTGTTATCACTCTCAAAATTCCTCCATTATTTGTGAGTGCCCCACCAGCATATGGCACCTTGACAGAACTCGTTAACTTTTTCCAGCTGTTTCTGTCAGATTTGCCGTTTAGAGATGAAATAGGGTCAGTTATTGTTAAAGAGAATCATATTGAAATGTTCATATTTATATTACAGCTATTGGAGCGCACCCAGATGATCAGCATTTCTTAACCTTCAAGATATTTTTTTCCTTTCACGTGCAATCGAGGTTGACAAACGCAGGTAGATCATTGCCGCTTCTGTATCTGTTGACATGTGAAATGTACTGGGTCCGACACTGAAGAAGAGTGGCATGCCTGACTTTCAGTACTTCTTGCTTAAAAAAGAAATGTGTCAGAATTTTTATTGAGGTGTAAATGAGTTCATTATTAGTATTAATCTTAAGTGTATGTGTAGTCGTCATCGGTAATCTTAATCAATCACCATCTTGCTGTATCTGCTATTACCTACGAGTATATCTGAGGCAAGGAAGCATTGAATTTTGCTCCATCTATATGGAACTGTCTGAAAATTCCTAAGTGTGTGCTTCAAAGGTGTTTACAGAGTACATTGATGGTGAGGCTTTTAGAGAAGTTGTTGGCGGCATGGAATAATTTTCTGTCGGGATTGCCCCCTTACCTTTCATAGATACAACTTGGATCCTGCAAGCAGGAAAACAGATGCAGAGCTTTGGGAAGCCCTAGAAAGAGCGCATTTAAAGGCAAAGGTATGTTTCTCCTTGCTTCCCGTCACGTGACCAATGTGTATGACTAACCAAACTAACCATTGTGCATGAAGCCCTTGGTTAAGAGTTGAAATGTGGGAGACAAGATAATTTTTAACCTGACTACCTATTGTTGTGGCTGTGCAGTTATGAAACTCTGACATGCATGAAAATGTAGGTTCAATTACCTTCTACCTGCATTTTAATGCGAGGAATGAACAAAATGCTCTTGTACTTACATATGCCTGTATGAGTGCCAATGAGATCTGTTTGGTACAAACTATTTATGCTTTTGTAGTCATTCCTTGAGGCCTGAAAAATCGCACATTGGTAACTGTGGCCTAAATGAAATTATATAAAAAAAGAAAGATTTAGTTTCAGAACGTTTGCTTCAAAAGAATGTTCAGGATCGTTCTCCTTTTAGTGACTGCGATATTCGTTTGTCAGTAGTTTGTGGGACACTCGAAACTGTCTATGCCAGTATTAAGCACACTATAATGAATCCCGAGCAATCGATATTATTCATGAGCCCCGCCGGGGTGGTCCAGTGGCTAAGGTACTCGCTCGGCCGCTGACCCACAGGTCGCAGGATCGAATCCCGGCTGTGGCGGCTGCATCCACCGATGGAGGTGAAAATGCTGTAGGCTCAGGTTTGGGTGCACATTAAAGAACCCCAGCTGGTAAAAATTTCCGGAGCCCTCTACTACGACGCCTTTCATAATCATATGGTGGTTTTGGGACGTTAAACCCCTTATATTATCAATCAATAATTATGAGTGCACATTACAGTGTTACTCTAAAACATTGAAGCTTCGTGGAATGGTGTAGCCAGTGTAAAGATTGTTTTCATAGTAAAGGGCAAACGTTTTATTCACGTGATCACATTCATTGTTCCTCCTTTTTTTTCTGTCGTGTAGATTGAAAAAGAAGACAAGCAACTTGAATGTGTCGTGGAGAAGAATGGAGACAATTTCTCTGTTGGCGAGCGACAGCTTTTGTGCCTGGCGAGAGCAATGTTGCGGCACAACAAGGTTGGTGAATGAGTGCGGCACTAAACTGCCTCAACAACGATTTTAATTTCCCTAAGTTCCTCGTTGTGTCGTTTTAGAAGCATTGTCTTCTGAATGATAATCGTTCTGTGCATTTTTTCTCAAACGCTGCTACGTGTTTCTTTGCAGTGATGTTGGCTCTGTTGCTGATGAAAAGGGGAGGGGGTCCCTCCAAAGCGGAGGCTTGCCAATATGACAGCTGTAAAAGCAGCTTGTCATGCGCCCCAGATCCTAAAGCCCGCTACGTACATTATAAAAGCGAGATAGTATGCACTCGTGGTCTTAAAACCAGATGAGGCACAGTGTTTTACCCCTGTGAATGCTCGTGCGAGTGTGACTGTTTTTCCACGAACGTGTGCGCATTTCTTTATTTTTCGCCGATGACCATTTTATTTTAGAGGGGAACTGCAACAGTTTTTTTTAAGTAAACATAAAATGTCTTCATTAAAAGAATTTATATTCTCTCAAATCAACTACGGCAAAATGTTTTAGAATCCCTAAAATACGAGCGAAGTTACGAGGATTTGTCGCACGCTCAAGGTACTTTCTCTCTTTTTTTGTGCCAGCAAGCACGCTAAAACCTACGTGAGCTTGTGACAACGTTTAAGAATCTACTTCCGTTCAATCGTGTGCCATAATCTCGAGCACTTCTTTTTTTCTTTGAACGTGCAGCTCACGTTCAGTGTGTTTTGGTGTCGGAGACCTAAATTTTGTCAATGTAACTGCAGCCAGTTTGTGCTTTATTTGTAGGAGTCTTTTTCATTGCAGTGAAAATGCACCGAAACCTCATTATAACAAAGTTGTATCTTGCAGCAAAATAAGTTTGTTATAAAACTGTTATTTGTTATAAAGCTATATTACTAACAAAAAGTTTGTTATAAAGGTATATTACTAACACTATATTTATTGCTAATTTACTTCATTATAAGCGATATTTTGTTATATCTGGGTTCGTTATACCGAGGTTGAAGTGTAATTGTACACACCTCTGGAGCTGTTAATTTTTCTTTGCTTGCAGATTTTAGTACTGGACGAAGCCACAGCATCGGTGGATGCCGAGACAGACCGGCTGATCCAGCAAACGGTGCGAGAGGTCTTCGCAGACTGCACCGTTCTGACCATAGCACACCGGCTGCACTCTGTTCTCGACTGCGATATGGTTATTGTGTTGGATGGAGGACAGGTGAGTGGTTGCAGTGTACTACACAGTGCTTGGGTAAGATGCTCAAATGTCTCGCTTCTCAGTATCCTTGAAAATGTATTGCCTGAAGCTAGGTGCTACAAGAGCTTGGAAATTATTGTTATTTCAAGCATGTGGCTTCAGTGAACTCCTCATGCGAAATGGAATGACAAGTAACCAGGCAATAATTTCCTCGAGACTCTAGACAACAAGCTCTTTTTTTAGTTTTTAGTAGCCAGTTTGCGCTCTTTAAAAGCGATTTTAACCGTCTCCGAGTTTAATTACAATCTTTAGTTACTCTGTTATGAAAGTAGATTGATTGATATGTGAGGTTTAACGTCCCAAAACCACCATATGATTATGAGAGATGCCGTAGTGGAGGGCTCCGGAAATTTTGACCACCTGGAGTTCTTTAACGTGCGCCCAAATCTGAGCACACGGGCCTACACCATTTCCGCCTCCATCGGAAATGCAGTCGCCGCAGCCGAGATTCGATCCCGGGACCTGCGGGTCAGTAGCCGAGTACCTTAGCCACTAGACTACCGCGGTGAGGCTGCTATGAAACTAGAGAAACTAAACTTGTGAAAGCAAATAAAAACAAACTATGTAAGTTAAAAAAAACTTCCGTTTTTCGACTCGTATCTCTCCTTGATGCGCGCACATTTCATCAAGTTGAAATGAAACGGCTGAATGCCGGATAGGTCTGCGGACAAAACTGTGGTGTACTAGAATACTATTCTAATACACTATAAGCAAAACTGTGGTCACTAAGTGATTAAGGTAAGGATGTGGACTGAACCGCTTTGTTTTGGTTGTCTGCAAACACCATTCTTGCTCTTTTTTGTCACTTGTTCATGGCAGTTAGGTATAGGCGCGCCCTGAGGGTCATCCAAATTAACTGGGTTTCAGTGAAACATAACTGGATTAGCTGAAGTTCGCTGCCGTCAAGCAATGTGTATGCTCGCTGGAAGCGGGAAACGTTCGAAGTATTCGATTTTTTCAATTAACGATGACAGAATTAATAAGGTTTTGCTGTAATTGCTTGATAGGGAACCACGAAACATAATGCAACACTCGCTGCATTGGCTGTAGAATAGATTGTCTCTTAGAAGCTTTTATGTTGTTTGGCTGTATTTCTTTTTCAGAGATCTGTGGGCTTAATCTGTCATTTCCTGTTTCTCTTTCTTTAGATTATTGAAATGGGCAGCCCTGTCACCCTTTCGAAAGACACCAACTCAGTATTTTCGGCAATGCTGAAGGCGTCTGGCATTCAGGCACCGACGAGTGAAGTGCGCCGCTGAGTGTGCGCAGCTTTGTGGCAGCTTATTGCTGCTGGACACTCCTGTGTTTAGACAGGACCTCGTCATCATTGTGCGAGTGTTTTAATTGTAGGATCTAATTTTTACGCCTTTTTTGTATTCCTTGCATTTCTTTTCGTGCTCGTGATATACATCCGATATTTTGGGGGGACTTGCAGCAGACTATTGCGAATCTCCTTTGATAGCTTTGCACGAGGCATTCATAAATTCACATCTACATAGCTTTCTCTTTCGTTAAATTTCTGCATTTGAGCTGTGGAAGCTTTCGTGATGATGATGTTTTGAAATTGCCTTTTTCCTCGGGATAAGCACGGTTTACTTCCCCTAGGGGCCGAATTATGGTTGCTGGGTGAGTTGGCGATTTATAATATAACGAAAGTCTTTGCATTCTCAGAATGCACTGGTGCCAGGGGATGATTCGTCGGCCGCATCTCCTATATTTTCTGGTCTTTCCTTGACAACGTACTCTTGTGTTGCACGCATATTTTTTGCGTAAGTCATTGTAGACAATTGCCACATGCAGTTGAGCTTTGAATCGATACGGTGTGATTGAATGTAATCCACAACTTTTGCACTTGATTGTTTGTGACTAGTAAGCCATGAGTCGGGATAATTCAATAATTCTCTTCAGATTATTTTTATTTTGTACTTCATCTGCGGTTCGTGCAATGTGCGCATTATGTTAACATCTTCGTCACCATTGCACTGACGACAATGCGGTAAAATCGAAATTGAGGGACGAGAATCTGTACGTTGCATTAGCTATTGTGTTAATTTGTTACAGATGCATACCGTGAGATTTGCCTGCTATGTAGGAATGAAGTGCGATGTCACGCTGCACGATTTTCAACGATCATTGATTGCTTCCATTAGCTGTCATCATGCTCACAATAAGATCGCGCATGCCATTGTTTTGCACAGTGCACACAACTGCCGTCGAAACCTCGATGCCTTTCTGTCACAACAAGAACGAGAGATCTGCTGTTTGCATTTTGCCGCCTTATTCCTTTTCGCGAGGCCACTGATGCTTAGTATTCGCACCCTGCGAGATTGTGCCTTATTAGGTCACTTTGTCCGGCCACACGAAACTTAAAGGTCATTTTTACGTGTCACACAGCACCGGTTGGGAAAAGAATATGTTATTTTGACACATCAAGCCTTGTACGTGTGTGCCTTAGTGACCTAGACCGGTGTTTTTTTAACTTAAAGGGTAAACTTTGCGAATATTGTGAATATACCAATTACAAGTGGGTCATATGAAGGAAATGACTTATCATTCTCATTCCTCAATTCGTTCCTACGTTTTTACACCTGTGTATGCACTTTTAGTAACCCTTATATTTTGTTGCTCAAGTGGAGTCTCATTTGCTTGAAAAGTGTCTACGTAGACCGGTGAAATATTCGGTGATACTTTTCCATCAGTATTAGTCTGCTTTTATTGTGAATGCTTTTGATAGCACTGTCAACTAAAACTGCAGCAGGCAGACTGCTGCAGTTAGTCCCTCATTTTGTGATAACATTATGAGCGAAATATTTTTAGTGCCACACATTCTATTTATTCTGCTTACATATCAGTGTGTACAGAAGTCCTCTGCATACTGTTTCATGTTGAAAATTTGTTGATGTTTTTCGGTGCCTCTGAAAGCATTAAAGGCTCGTTAGACTTCAAACTTGTGAATTGGCTGCATGATGCAGCACATTTCTAAAATTTTTGTGGGCTTGAAACAGCAATTGCAATCACATTTTTGTCTCATCATACTTAAAGGGACACTAAAGGCAAATAACAATTTATGTCAGAGTGAAAGCTCAATGTACGACAATGCGTAAACCATAATATCATCAACACCAGTGTCCTGATTACCGAGAAATTGAGCTAAATGTACCACATGGCGTGCGCTACGAGTGGGACATTTGTGAAATGATCCCGATGACGTGAAAGTGTCCGACTACAAATACTCACTAGTAATAAAACTTGCTGCAATACAAAAAGAACCTTCCGTTCATCAAGAGATGTAAATAAAAGCTGCCTGTCCGTTTCTGCATGATTTACAGAAAAAAGAACCGCCTGGCGTTACTATGGGTACACTATGGGGAATGTGAGTGGTTCAAAAATTATATTTTTGCCTGGTAAGGCTAGATAGATAGTGCCATCTAGCGGGGCCTAGTTGAACCAATCAAGCAGAAAATTGTTCGGCCATTGTTGCTGCTTTGGCTCCCGCTACTTTCACTCTGCTGCTACTAGTGTCAGCTGCCATGCAGTAATGGCGGAAAGTGATATAAAAACGTTGGGAGCAGCAACAGCGGCGTGAAACGGACCGCTTTTACGTGGGGGTTTTAAAGTGCGCTAACGCGATGCAGACCACTAAGACGCGATTTTATTTTTTCAAAGTAAGCACTTCCTTCGCACAAAAGTAAAAATATGAGATTTCTGGACCACCATTTCAGCAATCAACATCGACTTGATATTTGCCTTTAGTGTGCCTTTAAAATCTGCTAGTGGACTGTTCATTTGCTTGTGATGTGTGGTGCTTGTTTAGTTTTTAAGACATAAATATGCTCGATTTTAATTATGGCTTACAGCAGCATTTGCTTCAGCCGTCTGTACTGGCGAGTAGTGTACAAACGTAGGCTGTCCAATACTAAAGCTGGAAAATCGATACCTGCTAAATAGAAGAAGCACCACAGTGGCTGTTGACCACATTGAAAGAAAATGAAAAAATAGCTCTATGCAAACGGAAGACGCGCAACTGCTAGAACGTCCTGCATGGACAGATGCTGTAGGAAATGCGTAGCATTGTGTGCAGCAGATAATGTTTTTTTGGTGTCAATCGTGGTCGTGTACCGGCCATGGGCTCGAGCAGTTGGGCTGCGAAAGAGGTGAGGGTGAGTCAACAGAGGTTCTTCGTGTGGTTTGTAGAGTTTGGGCCCTGTGGTAACTTCAGAATGCTTCCGGGATGTTGACAGGACCCCTTTTCTGCAGCAGATGCTGCTTTACCGTAGATTGGCTTTGGGAGGCAGCGTAAGCTGCTTAATAGTAATTCTGTCATCACGCGAGTGTGCTTCTTGCTTGTAGACAGTCATCCTTTGAGTGTCGTCACTCTAACATTGGCGATATTCAGAATGTCGCCAATCTCACCATCTTCGGTTAAAGAAAAGTGGTCAATGCTCTTGCTTGAATTTCGCGCCGAAAGTTTGGCATGTAGTTGTTGGCGTGATGTCATGAGTTTCGAGGTGCGTCTGCGCATTTTGGCCATAGTGATTCAGGGAAATTTTCTGGAACTTGCTACGTTTAGACAATGTGCCGCTAAAGATACAGTGTATACCACTTTTGGTGACTAAGGATTAGGCATGCTGCAGCAGACGCCGCTGTTAAAATTACGGAATGTCTACAGTGTCACGAGGAGCTGATGCAGAAAAAATGTTGGCAGCAACCTCTTGGAATGTCAACCATATTTTTTTTAACACTTTTCGCTTACTAAGAATGAGGCTTTCGATATTGTAAAGTTGTAATTTACGACCATTTTTTTCTTAATGGCGTCCCTAAAGGCATGCAAGGGTGGCACCAGGATTTTTTAGGGGTGAAGCACCTCAGAATCTAGGCTTGTCCTTTGTTAGGCACAGCACATGCAGGGTACCCATATGCCCACCGTAACTTTCATGAAGTAGGGAAGTAGGGTTGGGTGGGGTAAACTGCGAGAAAAATTTTAAAGTAGTGACTATTTTTATTTCACTCCTTGCAAGTAAACATCAATGCAGAAACTTTCCTTCGGGTACAAGGTATCGGCTACATAAATATTGCCATGTTGCCACCGTGCCACCGTTCAAAGAATAAATAAAAAAACTGGACCATCTCCCCAAAGGGAACTCCGATGGTATACGAAGCAGAAGTAGTGCGCACAGTGTTGACCCGTTTGAAACGGGCGTCGACGCAGGTGCTGGAAAAACGGTTTGAAGCAAAACTCGATGTATAGCGTTTACTCGAGTAAACGTTTGTTTGCAACGCAAAGACACGGGAGGCGGGACACGTTCAAGACGCTTGCGCTCGACTTTCTTGACTCGTGTCTCGTCGGTGTTACCCGCGCGCCCTCTGTATTCTCGAACGCGATCGGTTTTCTTGACTCGCACCTCGTCGGTGTCGCTGGTCTTCCACTAACCGACGCTTGCGTTCGGCCTCCCTGGCTCGCGCCTAGTCGGTGTTGACGTCGCCATTCGTGAACGCGGTCGGCTTCGCTAACCCTCGCAACGTCGGCGACAGCCGGAAAAGGTACGCGCACACTATCGGGAAGCATGGCACGATCGTGCGGCAAGCAGCGGCGCGGTGTCCACATTGTCGGCGCCGCGAGATTATCGAGGCGCGCGCACGCGCCGGCTCGCGGCTTCTCGCCGACAGATGGAGTAAGATGGCGGGGGTGAGATGATGCCCACGTGAATAGTGGGTCGAGCGTTGCGAGTGGTCGATATGGTGAAGCGAGAGAGAGCTGACATGCGGTGAGCGCGCGGTAGGCGAGGAAGAGAGACGTCAGCGCGCACTGCTAGGAGCGCGTGAGCTACTTGGCATTGCTCCAACACCTGTGGCGAGAGGAGCGGTGCGGACGGAGGGACAGCGTTACACAGGTTAGTCGGAGCTGCTTTGTATCTAAAAATGCTCCCGGGGCAAAACTAGACAGTAAAAAAAAAACATTCCTTCAGTTTTCGCAGTAGAAAGACTTGAAATTCACTGTGTGGGCCCTTATGCAGTCTTAGATATTATAAGATGGTAATTATTTCCCATTATTAGATGCGAAGCAGCTCTTTGACTAGCCTGTGTAACGCTGTCCCTCCGGCCGCACCGCGGTCTCCTGGCCGCAGGTGTTGCTTGGAGCGGCGCCAAGTAGGTCACGCACTCCCTCGCAGTGCGCGCGCGTTGACGTCACTCTCTTCCTAGTCTGTCGTCGCTCGCCACGTGTCATCTCGTTCGCTTCACCGCTCGCAACGCTCTATCGCATCACCCTCTTCACCGTTCGCAACGCTCGAGCCCGCTCCTCACGGGGCCATCATACAGCAGCGCGCGGCAGCACGGAGTCAAAAGGTCAAGTGGCCAACGTCCCGAAACCGATGCGATGCCGTCCTGGAAACGTACCCGACGACGCAGCCATCGGAGTGCGCTTAAAGCGAAAACTGATAGGCAAGCCCTTGTACAAGTCCGGCCTAGTCAGGAAACAAAACATTCACGCGTAGTTAGAGTACAGTTAGAAGACTCACGCACCCCTCTACAAATAGCTAAATACCAGAGAACGTGCACAGACGTCTTCTTTGCCAACTTCAGGATAGATCTTATTAAAGAACAACACGTTGCATAGTTCTGCCAGAGTCCGCTGGTTCTGCCTTTACAGACCACGGCCACAAAGCAGTAATAATGAAGACAAAACGGAGCGCAGAACTGAACACAACATACCAGTTATGACGAATAAAAAACTTATATATTGTGCACACACGTCAATTCATTTACATGCACGAGCAGTTTTACATTTACATTTGCATGCCCCAGAGCTTAGCCCACTCGTCATGATTAATGTTCGTGTAGATGCGTGGATTTTTACTAAAGGGGTGCAACGACGTTTGGGTGGTGCACCCACGAGAAACTAGTTTCCTTGAAAGTTGGGGTACAAGGAGGGGGCGTAGTTGAAGAATAGGCGGGAAACTTGTGCTCTTTGTGTTTCGCTAAGGGGGGGGGGGGGAACAGGTTGTAGTAGAGCTGCAGCCCTCCATGACGCCGCCCCTTGCTGGTTTCGTGCATGCGCCGTCGTACGCGCGCCTTGCAGCTCAACGTCCAAGTTATTGCTGCTCATTTAAATTCCAGCTAGATTTCTCAAACAAAATCGAGCTCCAACTCAGCCCGATTGTGTGTTATTCCGCGTAGGTGATGATCAAGAGCACAAAAAAATACTTAAATGTTGACGGTGATCGCATTCGGATCTACCTGTCGTCAAGAGTCCAGCGCTCTTTTGTATAGAACAATAGCCTCGTGAATGTGATGAACACTTGGCCTGACGCCCTGCTCGTTTGACAGATGATATATCGTTTGTCTCAGTTGCGTTGCATATGTCTGTCGCACAAAATGCGTTGCACGTGCGTCAGCCGGCCCCCGAAAAGTACGAGAAAGGAAACACGCACTCCTGTTGGCTACCAGACGTTGTTTGTCGAACGCTCGCATTGACGAATGCACTTCAATAACTGACAAATACCTGTCTCGCTTAATTAGTGCTATTTTTCAAGTGTCTGATCATAATACTTCGGCACTTTATTGTGCTGTCGCCTGTGTAGATTCTCGCATCGAAGCTGTATTCGGTGAGGGGAGATTAAAGGGGCTCTAAAGAGCTAAACAAAATTTCGCGTATTAGTAAAGTACAGTTTCACAATCCGGAAAACACCACTCTTATCACGACCCGACGCTGGGTATAAGCGGGGAATCGTTCGACAAGAAAATACGGGTGGAGACGGCCACCATTGAGGTGCCCGCACCAAACACCGTGACGTCATAGATTTTGAAGGCTTCTAATGAAACTTTACGTAGCTCCTAATCGATAAAAATAAAATCTGCCGGTGCCTTAGACCTATAGCATACGAAGTTTCAGAAAGTTACATTGAGTCAATGTTGCGAGAGTACGAATGATACATATTGAAATTTCTGACGTCACGCGCGGAGATTTCGTTGCGAAATTTAGGAATGAAACTTCAACCTTGATTTCTTCCACTAGTGATCATATGATAGTGTAACTTGTGGCATTGGAGTGCTCAGAGTGCAGTTTGTCCATCTAAAACAACTCCTTGTTTTTCTTTAGACTCCTCTTAAATTCGTCCGTCTTATGTGCGAAAATACTTCTAGCGCGTGCATGGACGGGCCGCAGAAATCGGGCGGCCCTCTGCTCCCCACCGGGTCACTGAGAAGGAAAGGAGGTAACACACGAATGGACTTAACCAACAGTGAGAAAAACTTTAGAGGGCGGCACTTTTTCAGCGTGGTTTGTAGAAAATGCTATACCGATCGGTATAGTCGCGGCTTCTGAGCATGCCAATAAAACATTCAAGTCTTGGAGTTTTTTTGATTAATCTGAAAAAAAAAAAATCCCTTAAACACTCACCGGTGCAATTTTTGACCATTCTGACTTGCCCGATGAATTGATTTTGAAACGGCATTTTCAACGATCAAAAAGAATTTTCAATGCTGACATTTACCAGAGACAGCAATAACCACGCAAAAATGCTTGAGTCTATTAAAACAAGTTTTAAGGTTGTAACACTAAAGGATGTAGGTGTTTTGTATTCAAGTATTTGTGCTTGAGTGCATATTTGTGCACTCAATCGTTCGAGACGTCCGAAAATAAATTTGGCGTTCTTGCATTATTTCGTGTTCAGATATTTTGCGTTAGATATCGCAGTATTGAGAATAATACAACCTAATATTAACAGTTTCATTGTTCTTCATCAAGAAGCCGAAAGAGAACTAGCAGCTTGCCTAGCTCCACCTACATCAGCGCAGCAGTGGAGTGCAGTGTTACAGCAGTGCAGAGCAGATTCATTAAATGGACAAGTAAATAACTTAAGAGAAAAAAAGAGAAGTAAGGATGGGGAAACAATCACCGACAACAATTCAACGCACATTCGTTGAAAATAAAATTAAGAGCACATTGGACAATTTGTAAGGACAATATTCAACACCGAATTTCGGAGAATTGGATATCTACGAGAAACAAAGCCCAAGAAACACCGAATTCCCTCCTAAGAAATAAGCTCCAAAAAACACTGCGAATCTCAAGAAAATTAAATTGCGATGACTTGGAGCCCGAATTATAGCGAAGCACGCGTCCCAGCTGCAACTTGCAATTCTAAAAGTTGGCTATAGCAATCGCCCCCTGTTCTCCCGACAAGTGACGTCACAAACCCAAATGACTGCGTCATAAACGCGAAGTTTATGGCCATTGGCTGCCTGTGTAGAGCCCAGAAGTCTGTTATTTTGCATGGATAATTGGTCATTGTGCAAAAACACCCCCCTCCCCCGACACACACACCTCTAGAGAAGCATCTTTAGGAGAGCGGCTGCTGACTCAAAGGTCGCGGGTTCGATTCCGGCCGTGGCGGTCGCGTTTCGATGGAGACGAAATGAAAGAGGCCCGCGGACAGTGCGATGTCAGGACACTCTTAAGAACGCCAGATGGCCGATATTTACGGAGTTCTCCACTACTGCGTCTCTTATAATCATCATCGTGGTTTTGGGACGTCTGATATACTACTACTACTACTACTACTACTACTACTACCACTACTACTGCTACTACTACTACTACTACTACTACTACTAATAATAATAATAATAATAATAATAATAATCACCATCATCGCTTTAGCTGAGTCATACTACGACTCCCTTTTTGGAAAGTCGTGCGTCCCTAAAGAGAGTCAGCGTGCTTCTCTCTAAAGGGAGTGCGAGACACGTGACGTTCACATGCATAAAAAAGCGAGAGTGTGTATATACACAAATCAACTTTTATTTGTTCTTAGACGATGGATGGCTTGCGATGTCCCTTGCCTCGCGCGCTCGCACATCGGGATTCTGTCTGCGAGCGCGCGCTGCTGCCGCCTTGCGCTCTCTCCGCTGTGCAGCCTTATCCATCCGGCGACTCCGAGCGCGCGCCAACAGCGAACGAATTTTATTACAACGCTCCCCCTAGCGTACGTCGCCGCACTAAATCGAACGATTGCCTTCAACCAATGACACGCGCCATATGTGACATCATTCCTATTTTATAAGATCTCGCGTCTTTCATCAACTACAAGTACCGCTTTCTAGTTTATAACATCTTGCATCTTTTCATCATCAGCTACAAGTACCACCATCTAGTAAACACTACAAGAACTAAACGAGAGGTGGCTACATACAGGAGACGGTACCGCCATCTAGTGAACACTGCAAGAACTAAACTAGAGGTGGCTACATACAGGCTACAGGGGACGCACAGCCCACGCCCTAAGGAGCTTCGCCCCTAAAAGCGAGTCAGTGCTTTTAGAGTGTAAGTCACGTCAGCAAATCAGGACGACGTGTCGCAAAGAGGTGTGTGTACCCGTATATGCATAGTATAGGGTCCACTGTTATAGAGAACACTTGCGTGCACAGCATGTTTGTAGCTCCCTCTCTTGACAAAAAAAAAAATAACGCAATGGCTTGGATTTACACGGGACTTCTGGTGATTGGCCGTTCCGGCTCTTTTTGATAGGCTATAGTGCCGTGCATAAACATTGTTTCCTCATTCACTTTGCTACTAGAGGAGTGGCAATGTGAACGGTGCTCGTTGTAGTGTTTCCTTTATCAGTTATTGGTACTGTAATACTATTTGCTGGGGTTTAACGTCCCAAAACCACCATAAGATTATGAGAGATGCCGCAGTCGACCACCTGGGGTTCTTTAACGTGCGCCCAAATCTAAGCATACGAGGCTCAAACATTTTCGCCTCTATCGTGCTGCGGCCGTGGCCAGTGGATGGTACTGTACACATACCAAATGTAAAATAAAAATAAAAAAAAATCCCGGGTGTGGTGCGGGTATGTCTGAACTACGGTGTAAGAATGGTATTCTTACACCGTGGTCTGAACACCTAAAAACACACTATTTGCTACGCCGCTGACGTGTACAAACGCACTAACGCCGTTTTCTGCTGTATTGGCTGCGAAGAAAAGGCGTTGAAAATACTTGTCTTTCCGTCGAGCGAAAGAAAGGAAATACGAAGCATACACGCCGATTAAAACAGTCGAAAAAAAAAATAACGCTAAGCGCCTTGAAAAAAGCTTTGTCGGACGAAAAAAAAAAAAAAGCAAGAAAGGCCGCTCACCAGTGTTTGTGCTGTCAGCACACTGTCGAGGATCAGTATATACGTCCTATACTCAACGTATACCAGGGTGCCGACCTGCAGTGTCATTCGGTTTGGAAACGAAATCTTTAGGAAAATGACATTTCTTTTCAGTTCGATAAAAAAAAAAAGTGCGACGCTTTGCTCGGCATCACTCCGAATGGGGGTACAACAGGTGTTCAACGTTGAATACGCCTGCGAGACACTCGCTCTTCGCATGCACGAGAGTTCCAGGGTTCTTTCTTTTCGAAGGTATAGGCTCTTCATATTCCTTTTACGGGACCGTTATTAACTTCGAGAAACAATGACTTCCAGCAATAAATGTGCTTACTAGTAGTGGCAAAAGTCGCGAGACATACCACGTACATATATATCTCGTGAAACGTTTCCTGGGCGGAATTCGCAAGGATATTTCCGATCGTAAGTGCACTTTGCCGACTGGCTTTATTAATCCTATCTCAGTTGTCGGGATTGGGTAAAATTCTCTCTCCCGAGCACTTATAGAATCGATGATAAGTCTTCGAAATGTCAGGGGTAACGCCATAATGTATTTACCGGGGGTCATGCTGGGGATGCACACACAGTGGGTCCTTTTGAAGCAACATGGTGGTGGAGAACTTCCGCATTGAGTTTTGAATAAGCTATAAGCCTTTTAGAAGGGTATAAAGCGAATATTGGGCGGAACGGGGGCAGAGCTAAAGCCCCTTGATCTTAGGCAGAAATCACCTCTGATTCCACCTGTCGGAACGTTGGCTCCACTCCAGCGACATTTAAGGTTAAACGATTCGTGGGCGTCGGTGGGAGTGGGTTCAAATTGAGCACTGAACAATTGACAGTGAGATGTCATTGTCAATACAGGCCTAGAATACCGACCACTGCTGAGTGCGAATCCACCGCGTTACCTAAATAACGGGAGAAAATTAAGGGCTCAGCGATGTGTTTGCGTCGGCTGATTAATGCATGACTTCTGAAGAAAACATTTTAGCTCACAACAACACAGGGGTACATACAAGGGACGCAGGACTTGCTTCAGCCCCATGACCTTACTCTGTCCTAGTGTTGTTGTGGACTACAGTTTTTTCTTCAACATGGCCTCATTTTTATTTTGTGACATCCACCGTAGCAGCTGAACTGTTATAGCGTGGCACGCGTTATCCAAAGATTGTAGATTTGCTCTCTTCTGGCAGCAAATTGCTTTTTTTTGTATACTTTGACTGCTTCATAGTTATATCGAATTTATTAAGCTATAGTTAATAGAGTACACAGTGTTTCCTATACCTTCATTGGCTCCATTTTTGGCGCGATTTATTTTCCACCACGAACCTAAAACAACTCATCCACGTCGCTGTTTTTAATCAATGTGCAGCCCTCTTGGAACATTCGAAGGCAACAGGATTAGGGTGACCACCTGCATGTGAAAACCTGCACTGTGTGTTGAGCAATGCGCACCTGCCTCTCTCTTTCTATATCGCTCTCTTTCACTTCCTTAGTCCCTTCACCCAACGTGTGTGGTTTAGCAAACTAGACGTAGTGTAATTAACTTAAGCTCCCTACCTTCCCTATATTCCGTCTCTCTCTTTGTTTTTCGCCACCAGCAATGCCGCGCGTAAACGCCGTGCTGGTCACACCGAAATTTAGGAAATAGTTGTGCTCAAGTTTATGCGTGCTTGTCCTTAGCGCAAATGCAAGAATAAAAAAAATGAATGTAACATGCAAACCGCACATTATTTCTGAGAAATTACAATACTTTTCGTGTCAGACAGATTGTTTAATTTATCAAACAAAAACTTGACGTTATTCTCAAGCAACATTGACTATAAACGTTAATATTTTAGAAGATTCAACTCTTTGTATTTGAATTGTTAGACTGAAATGTTTAAATTCGCAATATTAAGGTGCTAAAGAAAGTAGTTCCGACCTGCCTGGTACACGAAACACTGATGCAGCGTGAGATAGCTGGATGAGTGGTCTTCGAATAGTCCGTCGTAAACTAGATCCGTTTGAGCCTATGAATGGTTTTAATGTGCGCACACTTGTCGCAACACTCTGAGCTGTGCTTTCTGATCCCGGAGTGTACGTTGTTAGGGGCAATGAAAAAATTCAAAATTCGAAAATTTGTAATTTGCTAGTTGCCTTTCCTTTGCATTCACTTCGCTACAGCGGCTTTCGTCCTTACAGTTTGGTGCACGATGAACGTCAGGCCAGTCTACGTCCTCGTGCTTTCTGCAGTCCTAGTGCACATTGCACAAGGTAAGGTAGAATTTCTTTGGTGGACTTGGTGGGATAAAACGTAGCATATAACACCACTTGACATGACAAATAACAATAGCAGACAAGAAAATTATGGCATATACACGAAGTGAATGATGGCAAGTGTGCGAAGCACGAAGCGGTGGGATCAATCGGGGTTACTGTAAATCACCCCGTGGTATTGACCATTCGAGCATGCAAATGAGTGTTCAAGTGGTAGCGACTGGGAGGCCCCGTCGTCAGCTCCCGGTCTTCTTCACTGTAGGTCTTAACGCGATAGCGTTAGAGAGCTCGTGTCGCAGAAAACCCGCCGCCGGCGTCGGCCCCGTTGGTTGTGATCGAAAAATCGTTTGTGGGTTTGTGACCAAAAAATCAAGTTACCGCAATAGCCGCGGGAGGCCGCTACTAGTCCACGCGTGCGCGCGCGATCACACTGAAAAAGCCGCGCATTCGGAGAAAAAAAAAAGAAGAGCTCAAGGTCACGAAGCGCAGTAGTTTCTTTGCCCTGTCACCCCTCCCTACTTAGCTTCCACCGCTTTTGTCGGGACAAGAGATAATGCAATTGCAGCATGTGACCAAGGTTTTTAATGCGACAAACCTTTGTAACTCCACTCCCACTGGACGGATTCTTAAAAATTTTTCGGGCATTGAATTCGTGAGGCAATAAGCTCTTCTAGTAAATTAATTTCATGGTTACTTAAAAAAGTGTTTCAGGGCCCCTTAACACATTTTGTTCGACAGGTGTCACGATGAAATCGAGCCCATTCGGCGATAATAGCACGCGCTGGTCCAATCTACTGTGTGCGTATTTGTGTGCGTGCGTGTGTATGTAACAAAACATATGAATAAGTACGCCCTTAGCGGTTGAAGGATACACTAGGGGCCGGATTTCGCTATAGCGTGCAACTATTAAAGGCGAAGCTTAAGGGTTCCCCAATTTCGGGACGGCACCTCATCTGGTGTAAGTCAGCTACGCCTGTAGCCTGCATGCAATGAATAGCTGAAGTACTGGCGAGTGAGGCGCTGAAACGCGGTTGCAAGCTTACCGAAAACTGGAGCGTAGGTCGGGTGCAGCAAAAGTCACTGTCAGCGAAGGGCTTGCCGCACACGGCCGATGAAGACGTGGGGCGCTTTCCCTCTCTGAGGTTGAGTGTTTACTCCTTCCTCAGCTTCGGGTCCTCAGGATAATTGTGAATGCTAACACCACGGGTGGGCGATCATATAGAGGCGCAGAGCAGTACTCCACCATTGCGCAGCACTCGCCGCGGAGACAAGCGGCCGCAGTTTTAAGAAGCAAAGCGCCGGGCTTTTAAAATCAGCGTTAAAAGCGGACACCCATGGTTGTTGGGACAGCGTCGGTAGCCACCACGCACAAGATAACCAATGAAACTGCGTCTTTGCCGAGTTTTACCCAGACGGCGGCGAGTCTCGGAAGCACGCGAAGCCTCGAACTGACGTCACACGAATGGATGGATAGATGGATGGATATGGCTGTACCCTTTAGATCGGGCGGTGGCTAGCGCCACCAAGCCGTAATACCTAATGAACCAAAAACTATATATTTTTTTTCCTTAAAAAGTGAGTTTGAGGATTCGTACTTTGCAGTGAAGAGTTTAATTTTCACTCGTGCCTTGACTTTAGCCACCAATCAGATAACCTCCATCTAGTTAAGTCTACGCGCTTAAAGTTTATTTTGCCCTCCCGGTCCCTACATGCGCGGTTTGCAGTGCCGCCATCGGTCGCACACCAGGACGCCCAGTTAAAGCTGTCCGTTAACAATAACCGTGATTTCAGTACAGGTACGACGTGTAGGCCATCAATGCCGTGCCAGCGTCCATGCCAAGTGGGTCTCGAGTGGCCAAGCATGTGCGGGATCTGCGTCTGTCGTGAGTACACACACAAAAAGGGGCAACTTGCGCCCCCTACGCCGCGCTTCTTCGCGATCAAGTTTTGAACTTGAGGAGACACTAAAGAGTAAAACGACTTTTTCGCGTATTAGTAAAATACAATTTCGAAATCCACTCTTATCGCGACAAGACGCTATAAGTAAGCGAGAAAACTCGCGAAAAAAAAAATGCGGCTGGCAACCTTAAGATTCGTACACCGAACACCGTGACGTAAGAAATTTTGAAAGCGTTTTACTGGGTCATACGTAGTTTCCAATCGATGGAATTGACGTGCATTGTATTTTGTTGGTGCCATAAACTTAGCATGCGAAGTGTCAGAAAATTTCATCGAGCCATTGCCACGACAATACCGAAAATACATTTTAAAAGTTTCTTACATCACACGCGGAGATTTTGGCGCGAAATTTAAAAACGAAACTTCGACCTTCACGTTCACCGCTAATGATGAACCTATGATACTGTAACATATGACATTAGTAAACCACGGGGTAGTTGTCAGGGTGGAGTGTGTCAATCTAAATCAAGACATCGTTCCTCTTTAGTGTCCCTTTATCTGCGACATTCTTGCGAACATTCAGTTAACATTGGATGATGCTTGCCGCCCCTTACACGTGCTAGACAAACTATTCGACGTAGACAGGGGCACCCCTAGCCAATAATACTGGGTCTGTTACTTTCAGATAACTTCATAATTAAGTTTAACTACTGTTATATGGATGTTTTCACGCATATACGTACTGGCTAAGCGTCATCGGTCATTTTACTAACGAGTAGCATGTGTGGTCTGGTTTCAACAACACTTCAGTGTAACCCTTTAATGCATCGTTTGTGCAGGTTAAGTAATAACAGCGCGAGCTCAGGGCCATGAAGAAAAAAATAGAGCATATAAGCTTAATTGCACTGGAGGCGCAAAAGAGACGGCTGAGCTGATGAGCACCTATGTAGTCCTCCTGGTTTCTGCTGTTTTGCTAAGTTTCGCAATTTTTGTCTTCATTTCTTCCTCCATTTCTTTATCTTTTTGCACTCAACTATCTACTTTCTCTCTCACGCATTCTTTTTATGCTATGCTTTCCTCTCTCTCTCTCTCTCTCCATTATTTCCTTCTTCCTCACCATCACATATCCTCCTCAAGCTCACTTCCATCTCCCACCCTCTTGCAACACTGTACTATACAAGGCTACGCTATGCTCTGCTAGCGTGTTTGGATAGGCGAGTGGGTGGGAAGCTTGACTTTGGTACCAAGGTTATGCGAGTTTGAATCCCACCTCACGAAGGATTTTCTTTCGCCAACCATAAATACTCTTTCTTTCTGTCTCTCTTTGTACTCTTTCTCTCACCCAGCAACTTATTACAGAACACGCCCCGGTGTACGTGTTCCTGAAACGAAGCAGTTGATGACAAAGAATAAGGAAACACGACGACGATCATTTCTGTTTCCAACGCACAAACTACGACGAGCTTGAACAGCTTATTTGTTTTCGCGACCTACTGGTGGCGCTTACTATACATCCAACATGGCGTTCGTTGAGATGATCGCTCTGCAAGAGACGATGACGGGAAGTGCACTTTTTGGCGAAGGCTGCAATTCTTCGCGCTTCGGTGGTCCATGGATTTATGTTTTTGAGAAAGTATGGGAACCCTAACATACAATATTAAGTAAACGAATGCCGGGTAGCATATTGGGAATGCCCAAAATTGTATCGTATCGAGCAGACGAACTGAGCGCTAGAACTACAAACCTGGAAGTTGCTGTACTCGTGCAAAAAATGGGAGCTGCATACATTCACGGGTCTTGGTTATTTGTCTACTCAATGCAATCCTGTTAACCCGTCAGGCTTTTTGGGGCAATAATTTGAACTGGACGCTTAATTTTCCTCCCGGAGCATCGAAGCTCGCAGTGATATCAATCGGCTTTTTTCTTTCTGCTTTCCCTTTAACTTGAGAAACTCAAACGATTACGGTAATATCGAGACCTTTCACAACGTTGAAAAACGACTACAAACGCGTGAAAACAAGTAGCCGCGTCTGCTGTTTCATGCAGGTTCAAAACTTTAATAATATCAACAGAGCTTCCGGCCGCCACCGCTCAGTGGCGCCACAACACCTGGAAGTTGCAAATTAAAAAAGAAAAAAGACCTGTATCTGTACTGTTCCTCTTACTGTCGCTCGTCGTTTTTTTTTTTTTTCGGCAGCTCCTGCGTGTCGATTATGTCCATCCCAGTGCTACCTCAAAGCGGCACCGGGACTTTGCCCCACCTGCGCAGAAGCCTCGCTCTGCTACGGCTAACAGCACCGGCGCCGGGCTACTGCTGAAATAAGAAATGAATAATAAAAAAGGAGGTATTTAAATTCAAACACCTTTGAAGTCTTGCTTGAATGCTTGAATTCACTTGGTACTGCATCAGCGATCAAGGCAGCTTCTTTCCGAGATGCTATCCCCTACGCTATATATATATATATATATATATATATATATATATATATATATATATATATATATATATATATATATATATATATATATATATATATATAAGGGAAAGAAGTGCACGTGTATACCTAAGGGCTCGTTTTTCCGTGTTTTGACACAATATTAATGAGATCTAACAGACAGCAATGCCAAGGAATGTATAGGGGAAGTTATTAGAACCAATGGAATGTAAATAAGAAGAAAGAAAAGTGGGTGAAAAAATAACCAGCCGTGACCAGGAATCGAACCTACGACCTTCGAATAACGCGTTCGATGCTCGAGAGCATCGTCCTGAATGTTACGTCACCTACATTCAGGACGTGCTCGCCTTGTGCCGCAAGTCCGACAAAGACATGTCAGAGGCAGAAAAGGTCAACAATGTGTTGAAAGGTATAGCTGACGACTCCTTCAACACCCTCGTGTGTAAGAATTGTTCCACGATGGCCTCCATCATCACCGAATGTCGGTGCTTTGAGCAAGCTAAAAGCAGGCGGACTACTCAATGCTTCAACGGCCTTCCAAACACCGCTGCGACTTCCTCGTTCGAAGATCCCGTGCCGCCACGATTAAACGCGAATTTTACCATCACATGGATTGTTCGCCAGGAGCCAGAAGCCATGGCCCCTGCTACCTGTACGCCCTCTGCACAAGACCACTTGGCAACCGTTTCACTAATTAAAGCCGTCGTCCGGCAAGAGTTTGTCAACACGGGCGTACTACCTTCCCCATCCGCTCGCCTTGCGCCCCAGCACATATGGACTCCCGCCCACAACGATGACCACGACGCTGCCCAACTTGTTGCCACATCCTCTTCGGTTCCAAGATTCCCCCCACGATACCGCAATCCACCCGAGTGGCGCACCAATGATGATGGACCAATTTGTTTTTCTTGTTCTCGCGTTGCCCACATTTCCCGTCAACAAGATTGTCAAGTGACAGCAGTCAGGATCGCGGACAATATTCTAGACCATACACCCCCGATGACCACTTTCGGAACATTCCACCACGCCACTCATTTACTCGATCTCAGCCCACCTACGCGGACGTCGTCGCTCAGAGGAACTTCTCCAGCCGGTCGCCGTCACCTCAGGGTCGCCAATCACGCTCTCATCGGTGGCGCAATCACCTTCCGTCGCCGGCCCATTCTAGTCACCTCCCGTAAAACTAACAAGTGCAGTTCCTGAAGGTGGCGCTGCTCTCACGACGAGCACCCGAAACCCTCTACTGACCCCTGATCCAAAGCGAAATTTACTTGTTGTCCTCATTGATGGCCTGGCCGTTACAGCACTGATCGACACTGGCGCTCATTTATCTGTGAAGAGTTGTAAGCTTCGGTGCCGCCTCAAGAAGGTCCTGACAACTGCTGCGTTCCTAAGAGTGCACGTAGCTAAGGGAAGCCGAACACCAGTCATTGGTATGTGCACAGCCCATGTTACTGTTGCCGGCCACCAAACTTCAGCACTCTTTGCTGTTCTTGCCGCTTGCCCACACGATGTCATTCTTGGTATTGATTTCTTGACCAGTCACTCTGCCTTCATCGATTGTTCATCCGGTGTTTTAAGGATCAAGTTGCCTTTGTATGACCATGCCCCTCCTGCAAGTTACACGTGGCTACGGTCCACAGAGTTTCTACGACTTCCACCTCAGGCTGCTGTGTACGTCCCTATGTCGCCTTTTCGTCAGTCCCTGATGACGACTATGTGGTAGCTCCCCTCATTTACCTCACTCTTTCCCGCAACATAGCCCTTCCGCATACTGTTGTTGGCGCCAACAACAAGACGCTGCTTCCTGTCCTAAACTTCTCCACGTCAGTCTAAGAGCTTCCCCAAGGCATCTCACTAGCAGAGCTTTAAACTGTCATAAAATGCACACTTTCTTACTTCACCGCTGATGCAAACACTGTGACCAAAGATGTCATAGCAGCGTACAATAAGACATTCCTGAAGAAAATGATATCTAGGGACCTCTTACCTTTCCAAGTTGAAGCCCTTCCTACATCAATATTTTTGACATTGACGACCGTCCACTAGGCCGCACAAGTGTCGTAGCCCACCGTATCACCACCGGCGACGCCAGTCCCTTTCACAAACTCCCCTACCAGCCCTTGGGCATCACCCGTGGTGCTAGTTAAGAAAAAAGACAACAGCTGACGCTTTTGCGCCGGCTATTGCCATCTAAATTGAATCACTAAAAAGGACGTCTATCCCCTGCCTCAAATCAACGACGCACTCGACTGCCTCCATGGTGCCAAGTATTTTTCGTCACTAGATCTTTGATCCAGATATTGGCAAATTTCAGATGGCCATGACCGCCAGAAGGCAGCATTCATCACACCCGACGGCCTTTACCAATTTAAGGTCATGCCGCTTGGGATGTGCTATGCTCCTGCAATTTTCGAAAGCATGATGGACTTTATCCTACGCGGTTTTACATGGTCCACCTGTCTTTGCTATTTGGACGATGTCATCATGTTCTCGTCTACGTTTGAGAGCCACCTCTCACGTCTGTCCGTCATTCTTGACGTATTTCACTGTGCTGACCTCCAGCTGAATTCGTCTAAGTGAACTTTTGGGTGCCGTCAAATTGAGCTACTTGGCCACCTTGTCGCTACTGGAGTCCAACCCGACCCCAACAAAGTCTGCGCTGTTCGTGAGTTCCCCGTTCCGCGTTCTACAAAAGAGGTCCACAGCTTCCTGGCGTTCTGCTCACACTTCCGCCGCTTTGTCGCCAACTTCGCGGATATTTCTCGACCCCTCTCGGATCTCCACAAAAAGGACGTGGCTTTTTCCTAGGGTGCGAACCAAGCACATTCCTTCGCATCAATGATTACCGCTCTCACTTCAACCACCAGTGCTGGCCCACTTCGACCCAGCTGCACAAACAGAGCTTGGCACTGACGCAAGCGGCCATGGCAATGGGGCTATACTCGCTCAGGTACAGAGTGGCATAAACCGTGTTATAGCACATGCCAGTCGCCTCCTGTCACACTTAAGTCTGAAAGGTGTTATTCTGTTACTGAGCGGGAATGTTTAGCTCTCGTTTGGGCCGTCGCTAAATTTCGTCTTTACCTTTATGAACGCCCGTTTGCAGTCATCACCGATCATCACGCGCTGTGCTGGCTGTAAACACTGAAGGACCCTACTGGAAGACTCGGCTGCTGGGCATTACGACTGCAGGAGTACACGTTCTCTCGGTGGTGTACAAATCTGGGGAGTTGCACAGCGATGCCGAATGCTTATCCCGCCACCCGGTTGAACCACCCGACTTCACTGAATTGGAAGCTGACGCTCATATTTTCGCTATCACAGACTTTCTGCAGGTGGCGGATGAACAATGGCGAGATCCATCACTACTCCTCATCATTGATCGCCTTCAAGCCGGCAATGCCGACCCTTCCCCCAGCATGTTCTTGTTGCAAGACAATGGTTTGTATCACCGTAATTTGCACCCAGAGGGCGCAAAACTTTTACTCGTCGTCCCACATCATCTGCGCAAAAACGTCCTTCAAGAGCTTCATGACGCCCCAACTTCAGGACACTTAGGCGTGACCCAATCCTATACGACCATGTTAGACGACGGTTTTTCTGGAAAGGCCTGTATCGCTCCGTTCATCGATACGTTGCGGCTTGCGACCTCTGCCAACGTCGAAAGAAAGATAGGCTGGAGGCCGGCCGCCTCCAGCCTATCGAAGTCCCAGTTCAGCCTTTTCATCGACTGGGACTGTACTTGCTGGGTCCTTTTCCAAGTTCGACAAATGGAAATAAATGGATCGCAGTAGCCACGGATTATGCCACTCGGTACGCAATCACCCGAGCGCTACCGACCAGTTGCGCCAGTGATGTTGATGATTTCCTACTATAAGGCGTCATTCTTCACAGACCATGGTTGCTGCTTCCTCTCTCGGGTGGTCGACGACCTACTGCGATCTTGTGCTACTCGTCATAACTTTAGCACGTCTTATCATCCCCAGACCAACGGGCTGGCCAAACGCCTAAACCGTAAACTGACAGACATGCTTTCAATGTACGTTTCCGACGACCACACTGATTGGGACATTGCCCTCCCGTTCGCCACCTTTGCCTATAATTCATCGCGCCCCGAAACTGCCGGCTACTCACCCTTTTATCTTCTCTTTGGGCGTGATCCTTTGTTACCATTTAATACTCTGCTTCCATTTGATCCAATATCGATGACAAGATGTCATCACCCGAGCTCGCATCGCACGCATGGTAGCCCACACTCTGCTCTCACTGTACCAGGCTACACGAAAGAACCTGCATAACAGTCGACACAAGGACGCCTGTTTTCCTCCGGGCTCTCTCATTCTACTGTGGCTCCCATCTCGTCGTGTTGGCCTCAGCGAGGAGCTTCTATCGCGATACGTCGGGCCCTACCAAGTAGTGCACCGGGCGACACCTGTCACTGATGAGATTTCTCGGACAACCAAATCATCGAACTCATCGACTAATTTCCGATGGAGGCGGAAATGTTGTAGGCCCGTGTGCTGAGATTTGGGCGCACGTTAAAGAACCCCAGGTGGTCGAAATTTCCGGAGCCCTCCACTACGGCGTCTCTCATAATCATATGGTGGTTTTGGGACGTTAAACCCCACAAATCAATCAATCAACTCATCGACTACTACTCTCAAAACCGGCACGTCTCTCGCCTGAAGGTTTACAATGGTGACACGCCTTTTTAGTCATAGCTGGAACCGAGACGATGGCTTTACAGGCCGGGGTAATATCACGGGTGTGGAAATACCTCTCCAGTGTAGCAGCTGAAATGACCCTAATGAAAGAAAATGACGGCGTTGACGTTGTGGGGCTCAGCCTGGGTTGACCTGTTGTCTGGCATTCTGTGCGCCCTGTGCACTGTGATCCCACTCTCCTATGGACTCATGACCCCTAAATAAATACTCCCCGTAACAATATGAAGAAGAAACAAGCGAGAAGTAGAAAAGAGAAAGATAGAAGAAAAAAGAAAGGAAAGAGAAAGAAATACACACAGAGACGATAGTTACAGCGCGATAGTTATAGTTGGTATGGCATGATTGCCGTCATGTCATACCAACCAGCCCACAGAGAGAGACGAAGATGCGAGAAGAAACGAAGACAAAATGCATAGCAAAACAAAACAAAGAGACGAGAGATTGAACGAACCGAAAACTAGTAGAAAAACGAGGACGGCCGCTCAGCTCCGCTCCTTCCTCAGGCTTGATACCGCTAGCGCGCAGCCGTCTAAAATTCTTTTTTTTTTCCTGAAGGGCACGCAGCAACGAGGAGGAGTGTGCAACGAATTTTCATTGCCTTCCCGTGACACACTGGCCTTCCTAGCACTTAGGGACAGAGCTCTGCAATTCAGGGATGTCCAGGCGGAACAACAGCCGGCTGTTCAGGCCTGGCTAACCTCGCCTGCTGCAACATCTTAACCACCACCACCACAAAGGGCGAATACAGCCCCTCATTTTAGGGGGCGGGGGCGGTTGCCTGAAGTAACACCTGAGAGGAGGGCTTGATCGTGACTTTTTTTTTTGTTTTAACTAAGAGAAAAACCCCTTTTATATATAAATACTCTGAATGTGTGCTCACATGGTTTTACTCATTTGTAATAATTGGTAATGGGAAACTAAATGCACTAAAGTAAGAGGGGGAGTACTGACACAGAATTTGGGGGGGGGGGGAAGGACAATCGCCCTTACCGCCCCTTCTCCTCTGGATCCGCCACTGACCACCACTACCTTCGCGCTTATTTTATCCCTGCGCACATACAGTATCCAGAGACAGGCGACTCGGGCACGCTTTTATTTCCGAGTGTTTCTCGGGTACAAGGCACCGAAACCTTCTCAGAAGGCAATTGTGCAAAAAACAGGGCCGCCCACGCGTATCACCTGTTGCGGCTGAGTCTGTTCGACGATGAAAGAGTGAAAGAGGAAGGGGTGCAGAACAAAACGCAAGGAAACTAGACACCGCATGCGTACCGGTAAAGAGCGAAGGACAAGTACTCGGAAGGATCTCCAGCGTAAACAAAGAGCCCCGTCAAACGAGTATACGAACGGCGCCCACTAGCGGTACCGCTATCACGGCTAATTTCCGTTCCTCTTTATGCCATTCTTCATGGCTCAGCGACCCCTTCTACACACGTCCAGTGCACGCAGTTGCCCCGCACTTCGCTGGGCATTGCTGAGCGTTGGCGTACGAGTTCATGGGTCTTCAACCTTCATTATGTCTCTTCGCGCATTATTCGTCTGTGATACAACTGCCATCTCGGCTGCAGCGATTACTCGTTATTTCTATTTCCAAGAAAGAAAATAAAAGCAAGTGGAATACCCGCCTGATAGCCTTTTTCGTCTGTCAGTGGATTTATTGACGACGCAGCTTCACCAAGCTACCCTGATGAACAGCAGGCAAGGGGCGAAGGGTTTAGCGGTCGAATGATGTGATAAATAGGACGTCCCGCGATTGGCCGCCCTGTTTTACCGTGCTGCACTTAGCTCGAAGAAGGAGCAAGTTCGAGAGGTTTGTAAAGAACTTAAACAGTTTACGGGTTTCAGTCAGTTGCAAACGTTTCTGTCATTGCATATCAAACTCTATTTGTGAGATTAAGATTGAGGTAAGTATAGAATCTGCACATAGCGGGAAAGTTTGAATTATAATCTAACGGCGTGTAGAGTACTTGCAGATGTAATGCAGATCCGGAGCGACTCCTGTGTTGAAGACAGTAATTAAAGCAGTATAAAGCTGTTTTCACCATATTTAACGAGTCCTGTTCATCTACATATTAAACAGACTTTGCAAACGATTCTCTTTATCCGGGTAATCATTTCACTATACCCGAACATTCATTAAGGCTTTACTATGTTAGTGGGCTGTTTCTGTGGTCAGCGCTTCGTCCGGCGAATTTAACATATATCCGTTGATACTGCTGTGTTGTAATCAATAATTTGTGACACTAATCACTGATTATCATCTTTCCAGAGTCCAGCCATGGACGCCAAGACGGTGTTTCTATTAGCACTGTCGGCAGTGCTGACAGATATGGTACAGGGTAAGACTGCTGGTCTGTTTAGTGAATCTCTGACTGAGGGAGAAACGCCACTGAATGTGGAAGTGCACAAATGAGTGAGGATAACTTTGAAAGCATTTTTGAATCGGCTGAGGCAAGGAAGTCGCCAGGTAATGAGTGTGGTGGAGGGGCCTTGATACGGAAGTAAATTTTGAAATGGTATCTCGTGGATGATAGTCGCCGTGATGGATCGTGAGGACGGTTACCGTTGGAGGGCAGATCATGGCGACAATTCAATTTTCGTGGTTAAAATAAAACACAAAGGCAGCGTTTTGCTTTTCTCAGCATTCGTTCTGTTGCTCTAGCAGGCTTCTTGTTGACCTCTTCACACTAAGTGACCTAATCTGCTTTTGTTCTTTTTCTCGCGTAAAATGTCAGCTTAATGACGACCGCTATCGGTTACTCAGTACCATTCGGCCATTTTCGACGTTGGGGTCATCGTTTCCTATTTCGTGACTTGTTCGGTTTTAGAGCGGAAGCTCTATTATACCACGACTACCAAGGTTATTCATCGCTTCATAATGACTTTGAGCCTCCCGAGCGCAAGCGTGGCAGACGTTATGTCTCGTCACGTGATCCGCAGAGGAAAGGCGTCACAGGTGCGCTCGCTCGGAGCCTCACCGTAGCGGTACCACGTGACCCGGCAAAAATGAAACTAAGTGTGCACAATATTCAAAAGAATACGCTAGATGGACTTTTAGTTTGCGATAAGCAGGTTTACGAAGGTAAATCAGCCATATTTTTCTTTGTTACATCTGTGTGACACGCAGGCCAGTGCAGACGACCTATACTGTGCAAAAGTCCCTGCGAGCTGGGAGTGGCTCTCCCCGACCGTTGCGGAATCTGCGTATGCGGTGAGTGCACTTATGCATGCGCACATTGACATACATACATACATACATACATACATACATACATACATACATACATACATACATACATACATACATACATACATACATACATACATACATACATACATACATACATACATACATACATACATACATACGTACATGAGTACATGGTTCGGATCCCGGCTGCGGCGGCTGCATTTCCGATGGAGGCGGAAATGTTGTAGGCCCGTGTGCTCAGATTTGGGTGCACGTTAAAGAAGCCCAGGTGGTCGAAATTTCCGGAGCCCTCCACTACGGCGTCTTTCATAATCATATGGTGGTTTTGGGACGTTAAACCCCACAAATCAATCAAATCAATCAATCATCATGAGTACATACATACATACATACATACATACATACATACATACATACATACATACATACATACATACATGAGTACATACATATACATACATACATACATACATACATACATACATACATACATACATACATACATACATACATACATACATACATACATACATACATACAAACATACAGACGTACATGAGTACATACATACATACATACATACATAATACATACATACATACATACATACATACATACATACATGAGTACATACATACATACAGACGTTCATGAGTACATACATACATACATACATACATACATACATACATACATACATACGTGCTTGAGTACATACATACATACGCACATACATACAGACGTACATGAGTACATACATACATACATACGTACATACATACAGACGTGCATGAGTACATACATACATACATACATACGTACATACACACACATACATACAGACGTACATGAGTACATACATACATACATACATACATACATACATACATACATACATACATGCACATACATACATACATACATACATACACACACAAATACATGTACCAGCGATAAGACAGGATCATAGCCCGATATAGTCTCACAAGATGCACCCGAACCTTCTCGGTACTTATAGGCCATATTGCAACTGTTATCGTATATTATAAACCAAACGAAACTCAACCCAGACACCCTCAGTTCCATCTTTATCGTCTTCTCGTCGGCTTCAACCACTGTACTAGCTCGGGACAGGGCAGGGGTCCAATCCCTTCAAAAATCTTCAATGCAGCATATATGTATCATCATCATAATCATAATCCTGACTACGTCCACTGCAGGATAAAGGCCTCTCCCATGTTCTGCCAGTCAACCCGGTCCTGTGCTTGCTGCTGGCGCTTGTAACCCGCAAACTTCATAATCCCATCTGCCCACCTAAGTTTCTCTCTACCCTTTACCCACTTGCCTTCCCTTGGAATCCAGTCTGTCATCCTTAATGACCAGTGGTTATCTTGCCTCCGCGCTACGTACCATGTGCATCATCATCATCATCATCATCATCATCATCATGACTACGTCCACTGCAGGACAAAGGTCTCTCCCATGTTCCGCCATTTAACCCGGTCCTGTCCTTGCTGCTGCCAATTTATACCCGCAAACTTCTTAATCTCATCTACCCACCTAACATTGTCTCCCCTTAACCCGCTTCCCTTCTCTGGGAATCCAGTTTGTTACCATTAATGACCAGCGGTTATCCTGTCTACGCGCTACATGCCCGGCCCATGTCCATTTCCTCTTCTTAATTTCAATTATGATATCCTTAACCCCCGTTTGTCCCCTAATCCACTCTGCTCTCTTCTTGTCTCTTAAGGTTACACCTACCATTTTTCTTTCCATTGCTCGCTGCGTCGTCCTCAATTTAAGCTGAACCCTCTTTGTAAGTCTCCAGGTTTCTGCTCCGTAGCTAAGTACCGGCAAGATACAGCTGTTATATACCTTTCTCTTGAGGGATAGTGGCAATCTACCTGTCATAATGTGAGAGTGCTTGCCAAATGCGCTCCACCCCATTCTTATTCTTCTAGTTACTTCAATCTCGTGGTTCGGCTCCGCGGTTATTATTTGCCCTAAGTAGACATAGTCTTTTACAACTTGAAGTGCACAATTACCTATATCGAAGCGCTGCTCTTTTCCGAGGTTGTTGTACATTACTTTCGTTTTCTGCAGATTCATTTTAAGACCCACTTTTCTGCTCTCCTTGTCTAACTCCGTAATCATGAGTTGCAATTCGTCCCCTGAGTTACTCAGCAATGCAATGTCATCGGCGAAGCGCAGGTTACTAAGGTACTCTCCATTAACTCTTATCCCTAACTGTTCCCATTCTAGGCTTCTGAAAACCACCTGTAAGCACGCGGTAAATAGCATTGGGGAGATTGTGTCCCCCTGCCTTACACCATTCTTGATTGGTATTCTGTTGCTTTCTTTATGAAGCACTATGGTAGCAGTTGATCCCCTGTAGATTTCTTCCAGGATGTTCATATATACTAGATCGACGCCCTAATTCCGCAGTGTCTGCATGACGGCTGACATTTCTACGGAATCAAGCGCCTTATTGTAATCTATGAAGGCTATGTATAGTGGTTGGTTATATTTTGAGCATTCTCTATTACCTGATTTACAGTATGAATGTGGTCGATTGTTGAGTAGCCTGTTCGAAATCCTGCTTGTTCCTTTGGTTGATTGAATTCTAATGTTTTCTTTACTCTGTTAGCAATTACCTTTGTAAATAGCTTGTATACTGCAGAGAGCAAGCTAATCGGCCTGTAATTCTTCAAGTCCTTGTCATCTCCTTTCTTATGTATTAAGATGATGTTAGCGTTCTTCCAAGACTCTGGTACTTTTCCCGTCAGGAGACACCTCGTAAACAGGGTGGCTAGTTTTTCTAACACAATCTGTCCTCCATCTTTCAGCAGATCTGATGTTACCTGATCCTCAAGAGCAGCTTCGCCTCTTTACATGCTCTCCAATGCTTTTCTGACTTCTTCTATTATTATTGGTGGGGTGTCATCTGGGTTACTGCTAACCATGTGCATAACCATTTCTTTTTCTTGATTTCGACTACGATGTCCTTAACACCCGTTTGTTTCCGGATACACTCCGCGATGGCCCTCCTCACGGAAGATATCTTGTGTAGTGTAGAGGGTGGGGGGGAGGGGTGGTAACGAGCGCTCACGAACCAAGCGGAGCACCAGCTCAACACAAAGTCAACCTGAGGAATACGCCAGATTCATACGTGGCAGTTCAGGGTCGAGTAATCTTTTTTTTGTAATAAAAGGAATCTCTTTGTAATGTACTCAACAAGTTAGATGACCAGCTTCTGTCAGAGGAAAGAATATTACACCATCGCGCAGGCGTAACATCACAGAAGAAAGGCGTGCCAGCGCTACTGGTCTTCCTGCCATCTACTCGCCTGTGTGAACGACTCTAACTGAAGCACCGCCGTTTGCGTGTGTGCCCGTGCTTCGTTCTTAATTTTTACGGCGAAAGCTGTTATGAGATCACAACTCGGGTCACGCGCGGTGCTGTAGTTGTCCGCCGCCGCCGTCGCCGGTGTCCGTTACCACTATCGCACGAGATAAGAAGAAAAAAAAAACTCCCAAGCATTTCCCCGAGGGTGAACATGGTTAAGTGTGAATGCACGGGGTGATGCTATGAGGGGTATTTATTAATTCGCACTATTATATTTATTAATCACACTATGGTGCCTTCATGGTGTAATGGTTCCTGGGAATCGCAATTTGATCACATGGGGGAGTTTACGTTAACTCACTGGCGAATGCCAACGGATTTTAACTTTACTCCCCCTCACCACCCGCTCTCGACGGGAGACTGAGAGAGAAGGCGGGCGCGCGAGAGAGAGAGGTGCGCGCGCAGCTGCAGCGAGCGAGGAGAGCGGAGGAGCGAGCGAAGGGGAAGGGGGTATAAGGCGCGTTACTGACACCGATATCAGCGTCGCTTCCGTGGCTTATTCGGTAGAGCGTCGCGCTGCGGCCCGCCAAGTCCTCTTTCTTTTAAAGATAGAGAGAAGACTGCGGACGCCGCCGACGGCAGTGGATAGTTTGGGATCGCTTATAAAGTGTATTCACACTTAAAAAAGCCTAGTACCAAGAACACTGTCCGCTGCGTGCCAGTCCAGTATTGTACCACGCCGGTGCTTGGTACTTGTTCGCAAACTTGCCTTAGGCAGGCTTGATGTCTGGAAGGGAATAGCGTTAATCTGAGCAATAAAGCGTTGTAGAACTGCTGAAGAACAATGAGGCGTGAGTAATGGGTGGGCCGTCCGATGCCCCAACCCATTACAAAAGCTTGTTCTTGATCACCTATTAACGGTGGCACATACCTACTTCAGGCATAATTCCTCGTCGTCATCACCCACTGCATGAACAATTGGCACAGAATTCCTTGCAAGTGTTTAGCGGATACCACGCTTGTCAGAAGAAGGACGAAGGATAGCATGGTGTACGCCGGCCTACTACCCAGAAATTACTGTTATTATTAATGCCATAGCGGGTACCCACCAAGTGCGCTTGCAGCAGTTCCCCAATGGGTGTTTAGAAAATGCTCTGAAAGGCCGTTCTTCTAGCTTTCGCTGTGACTGTGCTGTGCCTTCTGCACAGGCCTGGTGTTTTCTTTCTTTAATTTCTCCCTCTCTTTTTAATCCTATATTTTGCAGAACCATTGAAGGGTAGCATACAAGATCTTATCATTTGGTTACGCTCCCTGCCTTGCTTCCATCTTTCCACTTAAAAAAAAAAAACGAGTGACATTAAAAGCTTGTGCACTGAAAAAAGTTTTCTCTCTTTTGCATCCAGCCCCGCAGTGCCCCATCTGCCCTTCTCGATGCTATTACCGACAACCACTAGGGCAATGTCCTACGTGTGCACCTGCCAGACTCTGCTTCATATAGAAATCTCGCTGCAACATTGTGAAACTGCAAAACGCAATAAAAACGAAGAAAA